GTGGGGCTGGGCAAGGGTCCATGGGAGGGTGATGGACAGGTGGCCACATGGCCTAGAGGGCAGGGTCTGCTCAGGCAGAGAAGGTGTTGGGGGAAAGCAGGGGACCCTATGTGCCAGTGAAGAGCACTCACCTCTTCTTCAACAGGCCACTGAAATCCAGCTCCCCTGCATCTTCTGACTTCCCTTCACCCCTGCGGCCACAGAGACGGGGTGTGAGACCCTCCGAAATGCACCCCAGTCCCTGCTCCCTGCCTTCCCCACATCTCTGCCATGGAGGGCGAGACTCCCATGATCCTGGGGCCCAGGGACCCTCTGTCCCAGGGCCCAGAGTCACTTACGTGCGCTTGAAAGTCTCCAGGCTCTGCCCAGAGGCATCCTGACGGGGCGCTGGGGACGGGGTGGGGAGGGAAGGTGAGCTGGGGTGAGCCTGGCCTGTACCCCCTCTTCCAGGTGCTCCCTTCCATCTCATGGGCCAGCGCGTCCTCCCCCAAGGCCTGCACGCCTTCTACCTCCACTCCGGCCGTCCTTCGCCTGCCTGCCTGCCATGCCCAACCTCCCCCAGCCAGCATGTCTCCCTCGGGCCCAGGCACCTCATCCTGTGCCCTTCCTATCGAAGCCCCCACATCCTGGGCACTGCCCCGGGGCGAGACGATGCACCCCCAGATCTGCATACCCTCCTGTCCTCACCCGCAACTGTACATGGCTCATCCCAGAAACTGGACAGCCTCAGTTCCGAAGTCTGTCCTGGTTTCTCAAAGCCGGGGTCCCCTGCCTCTTACTCCTTCACATGTGCACCCCAAGGCTCTGAACACTTTCACCCCCAAGTCTGCACCCCCTCTTGCTCTAAGCCTGTAGACAACCTCCCCGGTTTTGACTACCTCGACCCCAAATCTGGGCTCTCTCCTCCCAAAACTTGGACCCACCTCACCACACCTGTGCCCCCTCCCTGCTCCTGCCAGGGACATCTCTCCCCCACTCAGACTCGGAACCTTTGCCTCCACTGCCCTCGCCAGCGCACCCTCCACGTCGATACTGAAGCCACAGCTGTCGCAGGCGTCCTTGGCTTTGACCTCCAGGCGGTAATCCCCCCGGTCCCCCAGGACCACCTTCCCAATGTGCAGCTCCACGGTGTACACCTGGGGACCAGGTAGGGGCGCTCGTGTCCACAGCAGCCACTGCATCCCCAGTGCCCGCTCAGTCTCTCCTAGCTGCACGACCTTGACTTTTGGGGGCCCACGCTCCGGGCTCCCCAGGCCCTTCGGGGACATGCACACGGCTTGGGTGAAGTGTGCCTTCCCTACCCACACATGCTCCCCTCCTGACGGCCATGCTCATCCAGGGCTCTGGGCCACAGCAAGGCCCCCAGATCAGGGCTCTGAGAAGCAGGACCCTCATGGCCACCGCCACCCAGCCACACAGCCCCTCCTCAGGTCCTCACATTGCTGGCAGAGTCGTGGGACTCCTTGAAGGAGAATCGGGCCCCACTCTTGCTGTCCACCTCCTGCCACTTGCCCTTGAACCACTTGATGGTGGGTTTGTCCGGGAGCTCCTTCCCGTTCACCTTGGCCGTTATGACAGCAACCTTTCCTGCATGGGGGGTGTCGGGACCCAGGGGAGCTCAGGAGGAGGACTGTGAGCTTGCCGGATGCAGGCCCTCCTCCCTCAGACCCGGGGGTCCCAGCTCAGCCTCCTCCCTCAGACCTGGGGGTCCGGGCCTGGCCTTCCCCTGGCCCCTCACCAGTCTCCACTGATACAGAGTCAGGCTTTTTCAGGAAAATGCCTCCGGGCTCCTCAGCAGTGGGGGACTGGTCCTCAGGTGGGGCTTCTGTGGAGGAGACAGGATTGGGAAGTCAGAGGTGGGCTAGGTGGGGTAACAGACAACTTCAGGGGTACGGACTTAGAGCCACGAGGGCCTTCTGCTCAGAACCACAGGTCATGGGGTGAAACGCTGTCTCCCGGCCGGGGGAGAGCACGCGTCCCTCAGATGGCTGTGTGACCTTGGCCAGGATCCCCTAGCCCTTTGAGTCTCAGAGTCCCCATGTACAGACCAGAGGGTGGTGGAGTGGACACTCAGGTGGAGAGGTCTGAGGACAGAGTGGGCACTGGGAACTGGACAGGACTCGGGACGCATCTGCCCCAAGATGGGACCTCAAGGCCAAGCTGTGGGTCTGTGCTCTGCCCTGGGGCCACTAGGGAGCTACAGGAGGCTATGAGTGGAGGCAGCGCTGGTCCCTCTGAAGCTGTGAGGGGAAAGACTGAAGGACAGAGTCCGGGCCAAGGCAGATGAGGGTTCAGAAGGAGCAGGCACGAGGAGGGATGGCAGGTCAGCTGAGCCGAGGAGGCTGCTCACCTTTTGGGGGCTCTGCAGGAGCATCCTTAGGGGGAGCTTCTTTGGGGGCATCTTTGCCTTTGGGGATCTTTTTGGCTGCTGTGAGGCAGGAGATATTCACAGTTCAGGGCCTGCTCAAAACCCCACTCTTCCAGGACAGAGGAGTCCAGGCCTGGCCTCCTCCCTCAGACCCAGGGGTCCGGGCCTGGCCTCCTCTCTCAGCCCCAAGAACCCCCCCGTCTTAGGTATAAATTTATCCCCACCCCAGAGTCTGAGATCAGATTTCCCCACCCCAGACCGGCCATGCCCCAGTCACCCAGGCTACCGGGCCCTGACCTTTTGGGTTCCGGGGGTATAATTAGCTTTTCCCCTGGGCTGGAAACTGAACACCTCATGCTGACCAAAGCAGCCTTCCCCAGGGCGCTGGCTCCTGGCCCAAGAGGGCCCAGCCATAGCAAGGGTCTGGACTGCACCCCACAAGTGGTTAACCCAATGCCTCAGGACCACATGCTGCAAAAGGGTCCTGGGACTTGTGTCTACCCTCCAGGCTTCCTCAGAGAGAGAAGGCCTGATCCTCATACAGAGACGGGTCCCCAAACTCGACAGAAAGGACTGGGGGACTGGGGGTGTGGCTCAGCGGTGCAGCTGGCACCTGTGGGCCCTGGTGCCATCCCCAGCACCACACACGCACAAAAACTGAAAGAAGGGAAAGGGGAGAAAAGAGGAAAGGAAAGAGAGATGAAGGGCTCCTAATTCCTACACAAGGGAGCCCAGGCCCACGGGAAGAGGGCTCTCATCCTTATTGGGACAGGTCCAGCTTCTCCATGCAGTCGGGAACCCCTGCTCTCTAAACACTGGACACCCCTCAGCCTATGTAGGGGAGAAAGGCCCAAACCCTTCCTAGGAGAGGACCCCATCACTATGCTGACTCCCCAGTCTACACACAAGGCCCCCCTCCCATGGAGTGCACCCCAATTTACAGAACTTCTTCATCCCTGCCCACAGAGGAGCTAACTCCCCCCCTGCAGCGGGAAAGGACTGTCCCCACCCTTCACATACAGGGGACCTCCTCCATCTCTCATAAGGGAGCCCCCTCTGCACACAGACAAGACACCCGGTTCTCCCCAACCCACAGAGACAGGAGGCCCTGAGCCCCATTCAGAAAAGGGGCCCTCATCCCCTCAGAGGCAGGGCCCGGAGCCACCTGGTTTGGCCTCGGGCATGTCCGCAACTTCCTCCGGCTGGGGAACCAGAGCACTGCAGCTGTGACTTGCCGGCCCTAGGGAGGGCAGGTGGGGCCCCACAGGGAGCGTTTTAAGAAGTCGGGAGGTTCCCAGGAGGCCGCGGGAGGTCGGACCGCGGCCTCACATTCCGCCTTCACGGGCTAAAGGGCGAGAAATAACAGGTGGACAGAGACAGCTGCGTGCCGGGTCCCCAGAGAGGACAGGCTGGGGGGCTCAGCCACCCGGGGCTGAGGGGGAGACGCCCCGGGGGCTGCAGGGGCTTGGGGAGGAGGGGCTGGACACTCCTGAGTCTGGGGGCACAGGAATGGGGAACCCAGATTTTGGGTCCAGAAGTGGGGGCAAGAAGGAGATGAGAAAGGAAGGAGGAGGAGGAGGAGGAGGACAGGGAAGAAGGAGGATGGAGGGCGGAGCCGAGGAGGAGAAGCGCGGGGAAGGAGGGGAGGGAGGAGGAAGATGAGGAAGACGGGAGCCTGGTCCCGGGAGGGCTCTCAGGTGGGTGAGGCTGACACGAAGGGGCGGGAGAGATGGGGTCTGAAGCCATCCATTCTTAGATCTGCAAGTCAGGAGTTTTCCGGAAACCGGAGCCGGGAGGGAGAGTCCGGTTTCCCCGCGTAGGCAGGCGGGGGGGGGGGGGGGGCACCGGGGCGCTGCGCTCCCGGGTCCTTGGGCGGCACGGGCTATGCGGGCGGGAAGGCCCTGGAGCGCGGCCCGCAGCGGGCGCCCTTCCCGGCAGCGCAGCCCGGCGCCCAGGCCGGGGTGGGGTGGGCGGCGCCCGGCGCTAGACGGGGCTCCGGGAAGGCAGGCAGCGTGCGGGGCGGGAGGCACTGTGGGCAAGGCAGGGTCGGCCTGGGGAGAATCGCGGCCAGAGGGACCCAGGGCGAGGGACAAGTGCCTCCCCAGTTCTTCCTCTGAGCGTCCCGCCTCGCTCTCCGCCAAAATCCCCCAAGAGCTAGAAATTTCCCCGCCTCCAAGGGTTGGCACCAAGCCAACCAGAAGGCGGCCTTCGTGTGACGTCACGGGTTACCAGGCAGACCGCCCAGCAGCTCTTGAGAACCCGGAGAAGCCAGGTAGGGGCTGGTGCCACCCGCCGCTACCGCTACCCCGAGGACTCAATCCAGAGAGAGGACGACAGAAAGATCTAAAGAGAGGAGGGTAGAGACCCAGGCAGAAGGGAAAGCGAGGAGGATTGGCCTCAAAGAGAAACAAAAATTAAACCGACCCCACCCCCGTTCTCTGGGTTATTTCTGCGTTCAGTGCTCAGCCAGGTGTGGCCATAATTGCCTTTCTGATCTCCGTTTTCATCTCCTCGCTGTCAGTGCAGCGACAGGACAGGTCGCAGTCCCTGATAAAGGGTCTCAGGACACCTACACCTTTTGTACCTTTATTTCTTTTTTTTATTTTTACTCCACATTTAAGTGACGATGTCAGCTTTTGCATGAAGTACCTTCTTTGTGGGAGGAGGACTGGGGAGGACGCCGTGCAGCGCCCCCTCCTGAGGGCAGGTCCCAGCGCGGACCCTGCCACCTGCCGCCCTGTGTCCCCACGTGGAACTCTTGCCATTCTGGGTCCCCATGCCCTTGCTCCCTCCTGGCCATCCGTGGGGTGGGTGTCAGGAGACCGGTCACAGGCTCAGCAGGGCTGCCAGCCTTTTCAGGTCCTTCTCCTGCTCCCCCCTGTTCAGAAATACAAACTGAGACCTGCTCGCCCGCCCTTCCCCCAACCCACCTGGACTTCTGAGTCCGTGGGTCCTGGGGACCCCATGTGAGCTCCCCCAGGTTCCTGCGCTCCAGCTGGGTTTGCACAGGTCTCAAAATGCAAATGATCGGGGCCAAACAGGCAGCTAGGCCCAGCCCCCAGGCAGCCTGGAGAACAAATGGTCCATTATGAGGGGCCCCTGTCTAGCTCCAGCCCCTCCACACCAAAACCCTGGCTCATATGCAAAATCTCCCTATGTCAAAAGGCTGGTTGGCAGCTCAGGGTTTTCCCTCCAGAGTGCTTCCGTGGATTTAAGAAAACATCACCAGGGACCAGCACTCAGGAGGCTGAGGCAGGAGGATCTCTGTGAGTTCAAGGCCAGCCTGGGCTACATAGTGAATTCAAGGACAGCTTGGACTACACAGTGAGACCTTGTCTCAAAACAAACAAAAAAATGCCATGGTAGGGGGAGCTGCCAGATGACACAGAAGTCACAGAGGTGGCAAATCTTGGTATACGCATCCAGAGGGCACTCCAGGAAGGCAGGGTCCCCACAAGAACTTGGGCTGCTTGGGGGCCCCGATGTGATTGGAGGGTCCCAAATAGGACGAGGGAATCCCAGACTAAGTTTCACCGAACCCCGACACACACCTACCAAGTCACTTCAGACACGCCCCAAGGATTCCAGAGGGACCCTAGATGGGACTACAGAACTCTAGACACAAAAAGCTGAAAATAGAGTGGTTCCAGAGTATACGGGGATCTCAAAGATGACAAAAGGATCTAGGGGAGCATGGAGCGAGCACGGAGGCCACAAGGGTCTCCCAGAGGGCCCCAGGCATAACTAGGAGATTGCCGATCCAACGAGAACTCAGACTAGAGGAGATCCAGGTTCCCCGCCCCCACCCCCGTACATGCACAGGGCTAGGGTTGCTGGCAGCGCCCCTCCTGGGGCAGTGATCTGTGGGTGCCCCCACCCTGATGAGATCAAGGCTTCGCAGACACACAAGGGCCCTTAGAGGGCCCTTCTTGTCCTGGACAGGGGACCTCGGATACCACAAGGGGATCCCAGAGGCTCTTGGGGTTCTGGAGGCACTGTCCCCTACACACACAGAGTAGAGTGGTCTACGGGTCCTGTGAGTCTAAGCACCACGCTCCTGGGGGTCCTGCGCGGGACAGCGACCCGGGCGACGCGGGGCCGGGCCCGGCTCAGGCGCGGCGCACACCCGGCAGCAGCGCGCTGTCGAACTGGTAGGTGAGCTTGCGCTTGACCTTGCGGATCTCGCCGGTCTTGGCGTAGTTGCGCAGTGCGCGCGCCAGCTTCTGGTAGGTCATGCGCTTGCGGTTGCCCTTCTGCTGGCCCCAGCGGCGCGCCAGGAGCTCCTTGTGCTTCGAGGAGAACTGGAAGACGCCGGCGCCCGGCTCCACCCACCACACGCACTCGCGCATGTCGCCGCGAGTCAGCAGCCCCAGCAGGAACTGGTACAGGCGCAGCTTCTTGCGGGCCCCTGCGGCGGCGCGGGACACGCGTTAGGGGGCGCCCCGACCCTCGCCCCACCCCACTATCCCGGCCCAGACACGTGGGCGGGCCGGCGGGGATGGTGGTGACAGGTGCGCCTGACTCTGTCCCCAACCCTGGCAAGGCTCGTCCCCGGTCCCTGCTTAGGTGTCCAGAACTGGCGACAGCCCTGTTTTCTGCTCGGTGGCGGCAGCACGCGGCACCAACAGCCCCTGCCAAGGCTAACTGCAGCGACCCCCGGGGCCAGTCGCTCGGGAGCGGGCTGAGATCCACTTGGCTTTTCTGCAGCTCGGCCTCCCAGCCCCTCAGCCCTAGGCGGAACGGGGTCTCTGGGGAACCCAGGGCGCCCGACTCCTGGGCTCTCTCGAGCAGCAAGGGACTCACAAAACCGGGGGTTCCTGACAGGGCACTGTTGACAAGAACCCCACCTCTCCCTTTTCCCAGGTGTGACCTGCGGTGGCAATGTCCCCAAGACTGAGCTGTGTGAGTGCACGTGCACATGTGTATGCGTGTGTAAGCACGCGCGTGACTGCAGGAGACCCCTGCCGGCGTCTGCTGGGTGCTTTACAAGTATGAGCTCAGTCACCGTTATATCTCCCCGAGGCAGGGATGGTGACAGCAATGCTGCCCACGTGATGGACGGGAAACTGAGGCCCGATAGGGGAAATCACTATCACGGTTATCCCCCGTGTGCAGCCTGGAAACCAGGACACAGGCGGGGCGCTTCTCCCAGGCCTCCCAGGGCTCAGGACGGAACAGAGGCCTCTGCCCTGCCCCCCTCCCCCTACCTACCTGCCTCGGAGCCCCTCCCCTCGGGGCTGCTGCCGAGGGTCTCGTCAGACTCGCTGTCAGAGACCTCCAGGGCGGGGCTGTCCAGCAGCAGCAGCTCCTCCTCCTCCGACAGCCCCGGGCTGGGGTACGGGGCGTAGGCCAGGGGGCCTAGGGTCTGCGGGAGGCCAGGGTCACCGCACATCCGGGTCCCTCCCCCTCCTCTCCTTCCTTGCCTGCCGCCCTCCCGCTGCTGGCCTTTACCCCTGTGCTGGCCTCTGTCCCGTCTGCCCGTCAGGCTAGGGGGCACCCATGCTCTGGCCCTGTATCCTGTCCCACCGAGCCGGCCAGTCTGACCCACCGCGGGCTCGGGTCTGGGCGCACGGTGTGGCAAGGGAAGGGAGGTTCTACCCGGGGAAGTGGCCGGGGCCATGAGTTTGGTCACAGGGTCCACTGGGGTGGACTTAGCTGTCTCCCTGGCCCTCACCTGGCCGGCAAAGTCCTCCGTAGGGTACGCGGGGAGGCCGGGCCCCGGTGTCTCCAGGCTGGGGGCCGGCTCGAGGGTCCCCGCGGGGCTGTAGGCGGAGGGGCCGTAGCAGAGCTGGGCGGCCTGGGGGGGGCCAAAGGTGGCCGCTGCCGGGTCGAAGGCTTCGTAGGGGGCTGCGGGGACAGGCGGGGCCTCGGTCCAGCCCCACAGGGAGTCTGGGGAGGGATGCCGGGTCAGAAGCCACTCCTACCGCGGCACGGCGAGGCGCACAGAGGGGCCATTGTGGCTGTGCAAATGTCTGACCCCAGGATTTGCATGGGAGCGGGTGGGTGGGAGAGGAAAGAGGCGCCTGGGCCGCCTGGGTCCTGCTGTGCGGGTGAGACCCCCTCGTGGGGCCTCAGCTTCCCGATCTGGGAAATGGGCCCCAGGCCAGGTGGGGTCACTCACCAGGAGCCCCCTCTGAGTCGGGGTAGCCGGGGTGCTTGCAGCTGTCCAGGTCATAGAAGACGCCATCTGGGTACTGCCGGGGGTGGGAAAAGGTCATTCCGGGCTTCAGGAGACCCCTCCTCCCTGGCTCAGGAGACTCGGACACAGGCGGGAGAGGAGAGCAGATGCTGGCAAGAGCACAGAGACAGAGAGACGGGGGCACCGAGACGGGGGGGGGGTGCAGAGACAGACGGCCCGGAGGGACACCGGTAGCTGGCTCCTGCTCTGGTAGGCTCAGGGACCCAAGCAGCTGGCCACTGCGTGGGCAGGTCTCGGTGGCAGGGTGACGTGTGGAAGAGGCCCAAGTCATCTTTCACACCAGTGGGTCCCAAGGCTTCTTTTTTTTTTTTTTTATAGCCTAGGCTTGTCTTGAATTCATGGCAATTGTCCTGCCTCAGCCTCCTGAGTGCTGGGAATACAGGTGTGCACCACCAGGCCTGGCTCTGGATGCTTCTTGCGTTCACCTCCCTCTTGGTCTGGTTCATCCCAAGAATCATGTACTGCTTTAGCCATGGAAGTTAGTGGACACTAAAGCCAAAGTAGGTCCATACCATCCCTACAGCCCAACAACCTCTTCCTGTTTACCCAAGAAATCTGGAAGCATTATGTCCCCAGGAGCCTTGGTCAAAAATCATCAGTGTTCTCATTAATAGCCCTAATCTGGAGGCAGCCTGGGTGTTCAACAGTGGAAGCCTAGAGAAGCAAAGTGTTGTAATCAGTGGGTAGAGTACTATGCAGCAAGGAAAAGGAACAGACCCTTGACACGACTATTGAATGAAGGAAGCCAATTCCCAAAGGGACCCGCTGCATTAGTCACTTCATTTAAAGTTCAAAAACAAGCAAAAGCTAGGCATGCTGGTGCACACCTATGATCATAGCATTCTGAGAGGCTGAGGCAGGAGGATCACCAGTTGGAGCCCAGCCTGGGCAATAATGAGACTCTGTCTCAAAAGGGAGGGGGGGTGGAGATATAGCTCAGTGTGAAGGCCCTAGGTTCAATCCTTAGTGCCACAAACAAACAGCAAAATAAACTGATGGTGCAAAATATCCAAGAAGGGGATTGTCTGGGGAGGAAGTGAAGGAATGTTCTAGAGTGATGGGAATGTTCTGGATCTGACTGGTGGTCACCCAGCCGGGTACAGTGTGAAAACTCACAGACCTGCACACAAGAAGGGTCACTGCTGCTGGCTTGGGAGTTGTACCTCAAGTAAAAAAAACAACAAGTCAGGTGTGGTGGTGCACATCTGTCATTCCAGGTGTTCAGGAGGCTGAGGCAGGAGGATAGAAAGTTTGAGTCCTGCCTAGCCAATTTAGCAAGACCCTGTCTCAAACAAAAACAAAAACAAAGTAGTTCAGTATGAGCTCAGTCCTTGGTGTTGCAAAAAAAGAAAAAAGAAAAAAGAAAAAGAGATGGAGGGGGCAAGAAGAATCAACAAAAGCAGAGGCCAGGCGGGGATGGCGGAGAGGGCCAGAAGGGGGTTTCTCTCAGCCAACCAGGAAGGTTGATCTGTAGCACTGGGCTGTGGGCTCGGGGGGTTGTGTGTAGTTTCCTGTGTGTCTGGAACATCACAGGATAAAAATTTAAAACAACCCACTCCTCCCCGCCTCCCAAAAAACAAGGGCAGGAAAGGAGGGATTAACGTGGGATGATGGGACAGAGACCTGGGGGCACAGGGAGAGCCGGTGAGGGAGCCTGAGAGGCTGAGGGGCTCAGAGCCCGGGAGGGAGCTGCACGAAGAGCTGTGCCGAGCAGGGGCCCAGAGCCGACAGGAAGGGGAGGAAGGGAAAACTGAGTCAGGGAGCAAGGGCCTCTCTGTGGGAGCTTGCAGCGGGCATGTGGGGCCCCACCCCTCGCCAGCCCCAGGGACCTCGACTCACCAGAAAGCTGAAGTGTGGCCCGTCGAGCCTGGAGGGGGAGAGACGCAGGGGCATGTCAGGGCCGACCTCAGCCACCTGGGCTGGCGGGTGGGAGGCGGCAGCTGTGACCACCGCAGCTCTGCAGGCTGCTGGGTGTCTCCGTGACACCAGCCCCACCACTGGGACAGGAAGTGGGGGGCAAAGGGCAGGCAAATGTCCCCCCTCCCGGGATTTGCATAGATAGGCGCTGGGGGAGCAGGGAAAGTGAGGGGAGAAAGTCCCCCGGGAGGCGGTGTGGGCGAGGCGGAGGGGCGGACAGCAGCTGGCATCGGCATCGGTGCAATGGGTCCAGCTCAGACCAGGAGCACTGGGGAGATGATGCCTGGGGAGAGGCGGGGAGCGGAGGAAGGTGTGGACCCGACATATTTCTGGAGGTATTTCTGGAGCCCCAGGGGTGGAGACAGAGGGAATGGGGGGCTGGACTGGAGAGGAAGTCAAAGGACCGAAAGAGAGACCGAGAGAAAGGACGGAGACCCAACCAGGATGCAGTGAAGGTGTCCGGGGTCAGGCGGCCCGGGGGGACGCAGCAGGGAGCCAAGCAGGGCTCGCCTGGGCAGGGGACCCTGGCGACCTGGACACCGGGCTGGGAGGATGGAGATGGTGGAGGGCCTCGGAGCCTCGCACCTGCTCCTGGGCGGGGCAGAGCCCCAGGCTGAGGGGTGGGGGCAGGGCGGCGAGTTGGGGTCCTGATGCAGCTGGGGACACTTACTGTGCAGCCTCCAGGGCGAGCATGGTGCTGTGGGGCGCTGGCCTTGCTGTGGGGCTTTGGCCGCCACCCCTATATATACCTTGGCCCAGCCCCGGGGAGGGGCGGGGGCCCTGGGCCCTCCTCAAAAATCCCCTCGGGGAGGGGGCTGGATTGCACAACCTGGGTCACGTGGCAGGGAGGGCCGGCAGGGCTGCGAGGATTTGGGGATCCCCACAGTTGGGGGTGGGGATGCAGGGCCGACCCCGAGGGGTGGACACAGCTCTGGAGCTGCACTGGGGGGGATCCTGGACAAGAAGGGGCCAGCGCGGCCCTGTGGGGAGAGCAGGAAAGCAGGGCAGAGGTGGGATCCGTCACCCAGCAGCGACCAGGGCAGCGAGGGCCACAGGAGCAGACCGGGCTGGGGGGAAACCCAGGCTGCCACTGACCCCCAGGACCCCAGGTGGAAACATCTGTGGGTGTGACATGGGGGGGTCCCTGGGCCCTGGGGAGTGGAAGCCTCCTGCCTGCCAGGGGCCGCCCCAGGCCTAGCGGAAGCAGGCAGCATCTGGCCCCGGGCGGCCACCAGGCCCCCAGGGAGGTGACACCTGGGCCGGGCAGTCTCGCAGATCCCCAGCCGGTGCCCTCATGGATGGGCAGAGGGGAAACTGAGGCAGACTAGGCAGGTGCGTCCTCCGCCGAGACCGAGGGTGAGGAGGTGGGGCAGGGGCCTTGGGGTAGAGGCCACGCTGGGGCTCATGAAACTGGACCTTGTAGCCAGGTGTGGTGGTGCACGCCTGTCACCCCAGCACTCGGGAGGCTGAGGCGGGAGGATGGAGAGTTTGAGCCCAGCCTGGGCAACTTAGTGAGACCCTGTCTCAAAAATTAAAAAACACAAAAAGGGCTGGGGATGTACCTCAGTGTGGAGGGCCCTGAATTCGATCCCCAGCAAATGAAAAATAAACACCTGCGGACCTTTTCCCCCAGAGACCACAGTGCACGGGGTGGCAAAAGGCTGGAATTTTATTAACCCTCCGTGGGTGCTTGCAGTCACCAGGCCTCGGGGCCAGGGGGCCCGAAGCGGCGCAGCAGCTTCTCCTGGTCCTCCAGGTCCTTCCGCACCTTCTTGCGCATGTAGAAGATGGGGCAGTCCCGGCTGCAGAGTGGGCGTGGTCAGGCTCAGGCTGGGGGGGGGGGGGGGGCCCGCCGCGAGCACCACGCGGGGCAGGGGCCGTTCCCAGGACTTTGGCCCGCCTGCTGCCCACCCTCCTCCTGCGGGGGCTGTTTGCTCAGCGGGCACGGTGGGGGGGGCAGATAACAGTGGTGCCCGGCCAGGCTCGGGGGCCGTATATCACCTGTCACCTGGCGTGGGAACCCGCCCCGCCCAGCTGTTCCCTGGGGAAAGCCCGGCCCGCCCCGGGGAGGGGGTGGATGGGAGCTGGGCCAGTTCTGGGCAGACCCGGGTGACCCTGCCCCACTTAGCAGGCGGGGCGCGGGGAAGGGCAGCGGGCAGGGACCCCGAAGTTTGGTCCCCAACCCACAGGCCTGGGGTGGGGAGGTCGGGGCAGGCGCCTACCTGGTGCAGATGACGTCCTCATGCAGGCTGCCCTGACAGCGCTGGCACTGCGTCCACAGGCGTGCGAAGCGCTCCTCCAGGGCGTTCAGGTGGGACACCTGGGGGTGCCAGGGGTGAGCGGGCTGGCAGGGCGGCCCAGCCCCAGCCCAGCCCGTCCCACTCACCTCCTTCTGGTACAGCTCTGACTCCCGAGGCTGGCAGAACTTGCACACGGCTCCTGGGGGCAGTCAGCACCGGGCACTGGGGCTGAGCCAGGCCGGGCCACTCCACCCCTACCCCTTCCCCGCCCGCTGCCCATCCCGGCTGTGAAAGTCCCCGGAGGCCGGAGAACAAGGGAGCGAGTGTGGTGGGGAAAACTCCCCTGGGGAACTCCGGGAGGGCGAGGACCCTCGGTGGGGTGCAGGCAGAGGGCGCCCACTGGGCAGCGTCTGGGGTCTCACCCTCGTGGCTGAGCACCGTGCGGCAGCCGATGCAGCAGCTGCGGCGTGTGGCGAAGGCCAGGAGGCCGCCCACCTTGCCCGTGAGCACGGTCTTGCAGCGCGTGTGGTCGCCGCCTGCAGGAGGAGCGAGATGGGGTGGCGCCCCTGCAGCCCCCAGCCGCGACCCGCCCCGCCCCGCCCCGCCCCGCCCGGGACCCAGGCTTACGTAGTAGCACGGCCTCTGCGCGGCCCTCGCCCAGGATGGGCTCGAAGATGCGCAGCAGGGGCTTGGCGAGCTGCTGCTCCAGGTAGTATTGCGTGTCGATGGGCAGGCTGTGCTCCAGCACGAATAGGGGGTCCTGCGGGAGATGCAGGCGCAGCCGTCACACGCAGCAGCCGAGGGGTGTCCCTGGCCCACAGGGCTCCCAGCAGGGCAGTCCTGGGTGCAACCACCATCCCAGGCTGCCGAGTGGCTAGGAGGCGTCGGGGAGGGGAGGGGTCAGAGGTCATGGGCAGCCGGCTGGGTGCCGTGCCCTAGGCTGGGGCCTCAGGGCACAGGGAAGGGTCAGAGTTCCCGGGAGGAGGCCAGGCTGGAAAGCAGGGTGCTGGGGTCACGTCTGTCCGGTCTGGGCAGGGTGGGGGCACTGAGGGAACGGGCGGCAGGGACAGAAACAGCCAGCGATGGAGACGCTGTGTGCCGGTGAGCAGTGTGCTGGGGCGCCGGCCCCGCCCACCCCGGAAAGCAGAAGTGAGAGGGGCGGTGCCGGGCGCTGGGCGGGCACCGGCCCAGGTGGGCCTCACCTCTGACTTCATGTAGGCGGCCACGCCCTTGGCAGCGCCGATGATCACGTAGGGGACACGGTCACCCAGGCTGGGCGCGCTGCCGGGGTCCCGCTTCCTCATCCTGCGGGAGAGGGAGGCAGGTGGCACGGCGAGGGCCAGGGGGCGTGGGCAATGGGCTGTGCCGCTCCGCTGGGCCCCACCTCTCGGCCAGCTCCACATGCGCCTGCTTGCCCGCGTAGTCGGCCGCTGCGCGGGTCAGCTCCTTGGTGATCACCAGCTGGGAGATGTCAATGCGGTTGCACAGCAGGTCCGAGATGACGTCCTTGGCGTGGGCCACGGCGCCCTCGGGGTCTCTGGGGAGGGCGGCAGTGTCACCAGCAGGTACCGAGGGCCAGGTGGAAACCTAAACCAGCCGTGGGCCGGGCACCAGGTCGGTTGCGTGGGCTAAGACACTGGGGCAGGGAAGGGCCTGGCCACGGCTGTCCAACCTCACGCACCACGGCCTCCCCACAGGGAGGAGCGTGACATCTGGGCCAAAGGGACGGGAGCGAGGGCCTGGGCCCGGACGCGGGGCCTGAGGGAGGGGAGTGGACGGGCCCCACACCGGTCAACGAGCAGGCGGCGCAGGGAGGCCGAGACAAGGTTGGCCACCAGTGGGCAGTTGTCCCTCCGCACGGCCTCCAGGCCCTTGCAGTCCATGCGGTCGTGGCCGTCGGGCCGGGAGCAGAAGAGAAGGCCAGCGTAGCGCTTCTTGCTGATGAGCAGGTAGGGGAAGTAGACCTGGCAGGGATGGGTAGCTATGAGCCTGAGACCTGGGTTCAGTCCTCAACCCTGAGACTTCTCCCAGAAACAGGGCAGGCCAGAATGCTGCCTGAGAATAAGAGAAGAGACCACAGCCCCCCAAACCCGGGAGCCAGTGCACCGGGCTGTCTGAGCCAAGGGCGAGACGGTGGTGTGTGTGGGGAGTCTGAGCCCTGGGGTTGGGACGCTGGCAGGGGAGAGCAGCCCCCGTGGACGCCCTGGGAAGGTGTGCAAGACCTGGACGCTGCTCTCCTGGGCAGCAAAGGCCAGGGCTTGGGAAGTTGCCAGAACCCGCCCCAAACTCAGGAATCCGCGTGACGCCGGCACACTGACCCTTGACCCTGGAGGGCTGTCCAGGGGGCTGATTTGGGCACCCGGAACACGGAGGCCTCGAACAGCATTGGGGGTCCCCAGCCAGCGCCCCCTCCAGTGAGGTGCCCCGGCGGATCCCATGTACCTTCTCGAACTCCAGCCGGATGGGCGGTGGGAAGTGGCCTGACACCCAGTCTGCGGCCTCGCGCCCCAGGTCCATCGCCTCGGCCACGGAGGAGACGCCGAAGCGGCACATGACGGAGTCCGTGTCACCGTACACCACCTGGGCGGGTGTGAGGGTGCGGTGCTGACACCCCAGGGCGCGCCAGGGAGGGCAGGGGCACGGCCCGGGTGTCCCGAGCTCCCCCTACCCTCTACCCGCTCGGCCTTTCCGGGGCGGGGCAGCCCTGACCTTGGCGTCAGTGCTGTAGCCGTTCTTCACCGTGTACTTGGACTCCACCAGCTGCTTGGTTTTCTCGATCATCTGACGTCCGAACCCCGTGACGCTCTGTGGGGTACAAAGCCCGGTGCAGAAGCTACTCACTGTGGTCACTGGGGCTCCCACTGCTGCCACTTCCCATGGAGGGGGGGTCCTCGGTGAGCCTCGGTGTCCCTGCCCGTTCCCGCATCTGCACCCGGGGTCTGTGGGACACACAGGTCCCTGCCCAGAGCACCGGGCCGGAGCTGAGCTCATGCAAGCTGGGGCTCGCACGTCTCCACCATGTGATGTCCTGGGCAGCGAGCACTGAGCTCGGATCACAGACACCCCCGCCTCCACGGTGTCCCCAAGGGCAGGGGCAGGAACACACCCCCAGGGGAACTATTCCTGTCCACCTGCCTTATTTTACAAATAAGGAAACTGAGGCTGGGCACCAAGGTGCCACGGAGACTCAGGTGTGATTCTTTCGTGTGGAACCAGCCAGATGATTTTTACCTAACGGAGAGGTGTGGTCTATGTACCTTTGGCCTAACTAGTGATATACCTACATCTATATAGATGGCCTTGAACTCACTATGTAGCCTAGGCTGGCCTCAGGCTCGTGGTGATCCTCCTGCCTCAACTTCAGCCTCCTGGTTGCTGCCCTCTTTGTACCTAAAGCTGCAACTGTATGGCCTGCCTTTCACAGAGCCCATCTGCCCCATACTCCTTTTTTCTGTCCCGGGGATCCAACTGAGGACCTCACGCTTGGCAGGCAGGTGCTGTGCCACTGAGCTACATCTCTGGCCCTGCCTCCCTTTTCTTGAATGACACAGTAGTTCATTATTCCAGTGCGATAACTGATAGCTAAGGTTGCTCAGGAGCGGGCCACGGCCACAGGCCTGACCCCTATATGGCAGGACTCGGAGGCCGGGTGCCCTGGCTGCACCTCCCACTCATGGTCCCACAGACTGAGGGAAGGCCCGGGGCCTCGGCTGGACCCTACTCTTGGTCTTTCTTAGGCCCTGTCCTACACGCTGCTTTCTTTGGCCAATTTTACTCTGTGGCCTCTGTGGGGTTAAAATCCTAACCCAAGCCCACACAAGCTTGTGGGAGTGGTCTGGGGGCCCGACGTGGGTGTGAGGCTCTGCCCAGGGATGCTCCCCAGCCTTCTTCCACCAGGACCCTGCAAGCCTGAGGCCTGCACGGATAGGGAGGGGCTCCCCAAGGCTGGAGTGAACTACGCACCCAGAGGCTGGCACACACCAGTCCGGACAGGACAGCCAGGGAGACCCTGCTGAGGCCCTGGGGCCCGGCCAGAGGGCAGGGGAGGGCAGTGGGCGGGTCTGCCATGCTCACACTGTGCTGGCGCTCACTGAGTGCCACTGGGCGTCCCCACACCAGGGCAGGTGGTGACCCAGGGCCAGCGCTGATGTGTGGAGGACCCATGACCTGGCCCGGGCACAGCAGGCCCCCCCCTTGCCCCAGTCCCTGTCCCCCACTACAAGGCTGCCCTCCTCCTCCCCTGCAGGGACCCTGCGGCATGGGGCGGATGAGCAGAGCTGCCTCCTCCCTCCAGTCACCTGGCCCCATTCTGGCACCCTTCCGGCACCCTAGCCAACATTCCTGCCTCCATGGTTCGCCTCCCCACTAGGGCGCAAGAGAGCAGCTGAGGACAGGACGCTTGTCTGTCACCCTGTGCACCCAGCATGTGGAGCCTGACCCACAGCACATGCTCGGGGAGCATTTGTTGACTGAAAAACCGAGCCAGCAGCTCCAGCAGCCTGGCACGCTCTCCCTGAGGCCAGAGAGCTGGGCAGTGGGACCCCGACCTCCCGATTATGCCAGGGGGCCTCCCACCTCCACGCCCTGCCCGGGCCCCAGCTTACCTGCGAGATCTCCAGGCATGGCAGCTTCCCCACCTGGGCGCCTGTGAAGCCATACACGGAGTTGGCGCTCACCTTCAGGGCCAGCTGCCGCCCGTCCAGCACCTGCCGCCGCAGGGGGTCAGTCTCCTGCGCCAGCTCAGCCTTGGCCCTGGGAGGGAGCAGGAACAAAGGCTGCTCGGGCAGCTGCCCTGTCTCAGGGAGACCAGAAGCCAGGGAGGACCCAAGCAGAGGCGAGCACTGGTCAGCGCTGGACAGTTGGGCACGTGGCACACTGCGCACAGGTGCCAGCCCTCAGGAGCAGGGAGCTTGTTCTAATGCATATGGAGCTGCAGTGAGTGCACTGGGCAGCCTTGGGGGGACACTGTGAGGAACAGGGACCTTGAGACCCCTGCCAAGTCTGAGTTCAGAGCTCGGGTGGGGACTCCACCTCTTCCGGGCGCTGAGCAGGTTCTCCAGGATCTGGGGCAGCAGCCCCTTCCGCACCGACATCTTCACGAACTCATCCCCCGTGGGTGTTTTGATGAACTGGTCTGAGTCCAGGCTGCGGGGAGGCAATGTTGGGCAGCGGGTGCCGGGTGCTGCCGGCCGCCCGCCCCCTCGGCCCCACCTCTCCAGTGGCCCCCACCCAGCCCCGGGCGCCGTACCCCAGCTTCTGGGCGGCCCCAGGCCGCAGCAGCGTGGTGTAGCACAGGTTGTGGGCCATCATGATGGATGGGTACAGCGAGGAGAAGTCCAGGGTGGCGATGGGGACGTCGTAGTATCTGTGGGAGCCGTGTGACACTCAGGGCCAGCGGGGCAGGACGTGAGCTGCCCCTGCCGGCCCCCACCCCAGGCCTCACCCCTTGAGGGGCTCGATGACAGTGGCTCCTGTGTAGTCCTCGCTGCCCTCCGTCTTCACCACGGGCATCAGCAGCCCCTCACGCATGGCCTGTGGCGGGGGTGAGGAGGGTGAGTGGCCGTGTGGAGCCCGTGGGCCTGGGAAACCACGTGTTGCTGACCGGACCAGGCACCAACCTGCCGCAGCAGCTGGGACACGACCTTGACCTGCTGGCCACGGCTGAGCAGGTAGCTGAGGGGCACGCCGGTGACGCGCGCCATCTCCACGTTGTTCACCAGCACCATGAGCCGCTCCAGCAGCCGCAGCGGCAGGTAGGCGTCCTTGAGGCAGTACACGGCCAGGCGGCGGCGCGTCTGGTCATTCCCGTTCTGGGGACAGCACCGGGGCCAGGGTCAAGGGGGCCGGGGCAGGGGGCGAGGGTCTGGGTGGGGGAAGGAGGGGAGTGACGGGGCCTGGGGGTGCATGAGGGTCAGGGCAGGACAGCAAAGGTCCTGGTGACAGAGACCACGGCAGGGGCACAGCTGAGCACAAGAGAGGTCAGGAGAGGCGGGTGCAGGATGGGGCCTGGGGCGGAAAAGGGTGAGCTCGAGGTCAAGGTGAGAGAGTGGAGGTCCAGAAGGGGGAAGCAGGAAGTGAGGCTGAGGTCAGAGGACAGTGCAAGAAGAGGGCAGAGGGCAGGGTGGCAGAAGCCTGGCGCACCTGCAGGTCTGCGATGATGCTGTGCTGCACGTCCTCCTTCTGCTCGCCCAGGAAGTGGAAGCTCACGGCGTTGAGCGTGTAGGAGCGTAGCTTGTGCTCCCGCAGCAGCACCTGCGGGAAGTTGGGTCGGGTCGGGTGTGGGTCCCGGCAGCCCCTCCAGAGCCTGGGGTCCAGGCCCTCAGCGCCCGTACCTGCAGCATGTCCATCTGCACACGGCCCACCATGCTGACCACCTTGCTGTCCCGCCGGCCCATCTGCCTCGACTGGAACGAAGAGTCCCGCAGGCTGGAGGGGAGCCCAACCACGCGGCCCAGCAGGGGGAAGGCCTTCACCTGGGGGACACCACGCCCAGGCCACATCAGGCACCGAGAGAAAGCACCACGGTCCTGCACACCACCCAGGGCCGGAAGCAGGGGCCAGGCAGCGTGGGAGGACAAGGCTGCAGCTGGGGCTCAGGCAGGGGAGCCGGGGCACGGATGTCCCCAGGGCGCAGAGGGCTCCTTTTAGGCTGGTGGCACATGGACTAGAGGAGAGACAGGCAGGGCTGAGGGGGCACTGCATTCTGGGCGTGTGGTGGCCCGGGTACTCATCCCAGTGTGAGGGCTGGGCTTCTCGCTGGTGCTGTTGGGGGCCGAAAGTTTGTTTTGTTCTGTTCGTTGCAGTTGGAGTACTGGGGACGGAACCCAGGGACTTCACGCTGAGCTGCATCCCCAGCCATTTTTATTTCGAGACAGGGTCTCACTAAACGGCTCAGGCTGTGCCTGCCTCAGCCTTCCGGAGTGCTGGGATCGCAGGTGTGCACCACCATGCCCAGCTTATGCTGTTCTTTTCGATGACCACTCTGGCCAAGCACAGAGAAAACCAGGAGAGTAATACAATACACCCACTATGGGTCGAATTGCGTTCCTTCCCCAAAAGAGGCTGAGGACCCGACTTCCAGTGCCTCAGAGTGCGAGCTCACCTGGGGGCAAGGCTCTGTGGGGCAGCTGAGACGTGGCCCTCAGGGGCCTTAACCGCAGGCACTTAGAGACAGGGCAAACTGGGACTTGGAGACAAGCAGGGAAGTGGGGGATGGCGGCCACCCACAGCCCAGGAAAGGCCAAGCCAGACCCTTCCTCCCAGCCAAAGAAGGAAGCAGCCCTGGCCTTGACCTCCAGCCCAGGGCCACAGCCCATTCCTTCGAGCCTCGGCCTGGGTTCTGCCGCAGCAGTGGGGACTCCACAGCACGGCTGCCTCTCCTCACGATCTTCCTCTCACGCCTCCCCTTCCTGTCCCGACTCCTCGCTGCCAGGCAGAGCAAGGCCTGGACTCCCACGGCTCCACACTTCCACTCCACACCTCCACCCGGTGGCCTCTCCCCAGCTCCCAACACCCTCCTGCCTCTGACCAAAGCCCAGTAACCTTTTGGACCTAAGAGGAGGGCAAATGGGGCGTGGTGGCGCACGCCTGTAACCCTAGCACTCGGGAGCCTGAGGCAGGAGGATCACTGTGAGTCTGAGACCAGCCTGGGCTACACAGCAAGACACTGTCTCAAAAACAAACAACAAAAAGGCCAGGGGTTTAGCTCAGTGGTTCCATTGCCTGCCTCGCATGCACAAGGTCCCAAGCTCGATCCCCAGTACCAAAACAAAAAAACAACAAAAAAAGGCAGGGCTGAGGCAGGCCCAGGATGTTGGGCTGCAGGCACACAGAGTGAGTGGACAGAGCCACACAGGGGGCTCCGCTGGCTGTGCCTCACCTTGAGGGTCTGGGCGCGAGAGATGAGGTAGGGGAGGTCAAAGTTCTGAATGTTGTAGCCGGTGATCACATCAGGGTCCATGGTGCGCACGAAGACAGACCAGGCCTGGCGGGTGACACAAGCATCAGCCGGATGTCCCAGCTGCACAAGTGCCCAGAGGAGGAGCGCTCGGCCTCAGCAAGCCCGCCTGCAAAGCCAGGGCGGTGGCCGTGGTCTCAGGAGGGCGGGGGCCGGGCTGAGGAAAGCAGCCTGGGGCAGAGCGAGAGCCACCTGGAGCAGGTCCTCTTCCCGCTCGAAGCTCTGCACCTGGGCACCCAGGATGGGGGCACAGGGCCGAAGGGTGAGTGCGAGGCGCAAGAAGGGCTCCGGCTCGCCCCAGCGCAGGCCCAGGGAGCAGATCTGGATCACGGGGTCCCGCTCGGGCTCAGGGAAGATGCCTGCAGAGAGGGGACAGGGATCTGAGTCCTGCCTCTCCCTCAGGTGGAGGCCCCAGCCTATGGCTACCCCACTGCCCACAGCCCACGCCTGCGGGGTCCTGTGGTGTCCTCCGCCTTTCCCCTCCACTCTGGCCGCAGCAGGACAGACCTGCCTCAGGACCTCTACACTGGCGGGCTCCTCTCCTGCCAACGCCCCTCCCCTCACCCGACGTGCCTGGAACAACCCCGATGTTCCGAGCTGGGGGCGCCCCGCACCTGGGAGACAAACCTTTGCGGCCTGCGCACTCGATGTCAAAGCTGAGCACGCGCAGGGGTGCGATGCGCTGCCACGGCCCCTCAGGGGGGTGGCTGACCACATGGGACCACAGCACGTCGGCCTCCAGCGCGCACAGGGTGACCTGCGGGAAGAGGTGTCAGAAGCAGCAGGGTCCCGGCTCCCTGCCCGAGCCTACAGGGAGCCCCGTACCTGCTCCTCCTGCCTCAGGACGTATCTTCCCGCTGGGAGTTCCAGCCAGTTGCAGCCCACGATGTCGGTGTCCACCATGAACCTGGGGGCGGGGGGGAGTCAGGGCAGAAGCTGGGGCGGGGTGAGGAGGGGCGAGGGGTGAGGGCGGACGTACGTACCGGATCTCGAAGTCCACGTTGGCCTCGTAGGGCGCGAGGCTGGGGGTGCCCAGGCCCGCCACGCGGACGCCCTGCTCCAGGAGGCGGCGCGCGGGTGCCACGAGGCGGGGCAGCGCCAAGGTGATGCGCAGGAAGGGCGAGGGGCCGTGTCCATGGTACCCAAACATGCCTGTGGACAGAGGAGGTCGGGGCCGGCTCAGGGGCCCCGGCCCCGGTCCCGACCTCATTCCCGGCCCCAGCTCTGGCTCCGGGGCGACACTCACTCTCCCGGGAGCACAGCTCCACCGCCAGCACGGCCGGCCCACTGAGCTCCTTGCCGCCGCGCTGGTCTCGGCTGATGGCCGTGTTCAGCTCCCGCTGCAGCTCCGCCAGATGCTCAGCCCCGAACCCTGGCGTGGGAGGGTCAGTCAGACGGCAGTGGGGCCTGCGCGGGCCTGGGCGGCTCCGGGCCCGGCCACTCACCGGGCGGCGCGGGGACGTAGAAGTAGGGCGCAAAGCCGTGGATGTGGCAGCAGACGGACACCCCCTCGTCAGTGACCCCGAAGGCACGCAGCACCGGCACGTGGCTGCTGGACGGCGGAGTCCACCCTGGCAGGGGCCGTGCTGAACCTGGGCGTCACAGGGCCAGGCAAGATGTCCCCTCTGGGCGGTCCCTGCACCACCTCATTATTCACTCGCTTCCCTGGTGCCATTCTCCGCCTTCAGCAGGACGGGCCCCTCCACTTTTCTTCCTTTGTGCTACTGGGGACTGGATCCAGGGCTTCCCACTGAGCTGCAGCCCTAGCCCTTTTTAAGACCCTCCTGCCTCAGCCTCCCAGAGTGCTGGGGTTTACAGCTGTGAGCCATCACTCCTGGCTCCCTCCTTATTATTACTGCATAAGACATTTTTGCCAGAAGTAAAACGACTACTGATCAGCGCACATACGTCTAACGTCATGAACATTAACAGATTGATTGTGGCAACTGCCACAGCACCGGGGCTCAGGACAGCCTCCTGCCCCCGTGTGTACCAGCGCTCCCAGTCCTGTCACCACAGCTCTTTGTCAAGGCGTCCATACAGATGGACTTGCTGGCCCCTCCGTGGTGCTGTGTGGAGTATGCAGCACGGGGAGATGGAGATGAGCCGCCCCCACTCCTGCTCGGGCACCCCCGCCCTGTGCCTCTCTCTCACAGCCCTGGTCACTGCCTCACCCGACTCACCCACATAGTGGTCGATCTCCAGCTGCTGGAAGATGAGGGGCTCCGTCTGAGGGTCCAGCGGGGGTGGGGGAGGCCGAAACCAGCGGGGGTCAGTGGCTGTGGAGAGCTGCCCTGGAGGGGAAGGAGCAGGCCCCTTGGAGAGGAGCCACCCAGGCTGCCGGGCTGGGGCAGGGGGGCATCCCTCAGGCCCCAGGAAGCGGAAGGCTGGGCTCAGGGTCAGGAGCAGCAGGATGCACACAGGCAGGGTGCGCAGGCAGCCCGGCTCTGCTGCTGACTCGGAGGGAGGTGAGACCGGGGTTGGGAGGCTGCAGGGTCCCGCTCTGGGCTCACCGTCGGTGGCCCGCTCCACGGCCAGCTGCAGCGCCTCCTCCTCCTGCTCCCGCAACCTGTGCTCAGCTTCTATCTCCTCCAGCAGCGCCAGGTCCTCCTCGAAGTGGGACGGCGGAGGCTCCTCGTCCCAGAGGCCCCCTCGAGCCCGCTTTGGGGGCACCCCGGCCCCTGGGCCCTGCTGCCGCTTGCCATCCATCCTGTGGGCAGGTTGGGGCTTCAGGGGGGCTCTGACCAGACCCTCTTTCCCAGTCTTCACGGTCCCACGCTAGCGCAGCAGGGCTCTCCACCTGCGGGCTGGTGGGCGCCTGGCACGCTCTGCAGGTTGGCACAGGGGGCCCCCACTCTACACAGCCCCAGCTTAACCCATGCCCCACATCCTGTGCCTGGTCGGCTGCCCCCTCCCCATCACCCCTTTATTTCCCATTAACTTCTGTCCCCGATGCCCTCGCTGCCCACCCCATCTGCTCAGCCTCCCTCCAGTGGGCGGCTGAGAAGCACTCAGGCCAGTTCCTGTGCCCCGTGCCTGTCACATGCCGGGGACCAGGATCCTTCCCCACCCTAGGTTCAGGCAAACACCTCTGGATCCCACAGCTGCGTCTCAGAGGCTTCCCACAGGATGAGACCCAAGGCTTGTCGGTGGGGCACGGCCTCACTCACAGGACCATGCACCGGTCCCCGGGTCCCCACCCCGCGTCCTCACTGTGTCCCACCTCCCACGCAGGCAGGAAGTGCAGGTGGATCACGGGATACTTCAGGATGGAGTTCTTAGGGACAAAGACGTGGCCTGAAATTGGCACAGGACATTTAATGTGGACTCGGAAGCAAGGATCAGCTACAGTACGTGCCCCGATTTCTCCAGCTGTCCCTCCGATGGCCTTTGCAGGGGCCTCCGCCAACCCAGGAGCCACTGTGCCTGACAAGTCAAAGCACGAGCCATGCAGGGGCTGTATTTCTGGTTGCTTCCTTAACTGCAGCCAGTAACAGAAGCAGGAGCGCTTTCAGTGAGGTGTGCTGATGTGACTGTGTCTACCCCGTGGCAGACCGGACAGGACTGTATTCAGGTTAGGCTTGCTCAAGTCGGCGACTTCCTGTGGTACAGGAAGAGCATGTTCTAAGGTGACACACGCTCAAGGACGCTGAGTAAGTGGCCGTGACATATGCAGTGATGTGCGTGGGCACAGAGAGAAGGCAGGCATGCACACAAAGCATAAAACCAACAGGGTGAACCGATGAAGCAGGGGACCCAGAGAAAGGGTATGCAGGTGATCGTCGCACTATTCCTATTCTTTCAACCTCTGTAAAATCAAAATGAAGCTGTGAGAGAATACACACCCTGCACGGGCCAGGCTGGGACGGTGACCACCTGACACGCTCTCACCCTGCTTGACCTCTGGACAGTGGCGGGAGAGCTCGGCCTGGTCCTTCTGGGTCCCCGTTACGGTGGCTTAGCCTAGACCAGTGATGGCGAACCTTTCCGAGCTTTCAGTGGTAACAAACAGCCCACTGCGGCACGTGTGCCCCAGGTTCGCCACCACTGGCCTAGACTAACAAACACGCTGAGGCAGGAGGAGCGCACGTCTGAGCCCAACCTGGGTTATTCAGCGAGTCCCTGTCTCAAAATGAAAATTAAAAAGGGCTGGGAATGCAGCTCAGTGAGAAAGCCCTGGGTTCAATCCCACGCACTTCAAAATAATAAATACTAAAAAATAGCTGTGTGAAAGAAGCCAGATATAAAACGCCCAGACCGAGGGAATGGGAAGCAACTGCTTAATGGACATAGGCTTTCTCTGGGGTGGTGGAATGTTCTGGACCTACCCAGGCGATAGTTGTACCACACAGTGAACATACTGACCAGAGTTGTTCACTTTAAAATGGTTCATTTTGCTGGGCGTTGTGAGACACACCTGTCAGCCCAGCACTCAGGAGGCTGAGGCAAGAGGACCGAGTGTTCGAGGGCAGCCTGAGCTACAGACGGAGATCCTGTCTCCAGAAACAAAAGGGCTGGAGATGTAGCCAAGTGAGTGGGAGAGCACCCCTGGGTTCCATCCCCAGTATCACACACAACACACACACACACACACACACACACACACACAGTTCACTTCACCTCCGCACAAAAGGCAAACCCATGGTGTTTGATGCCATCTACACAATGCTCTAGAACAACCTGGTTTGTGGAGCTCCCAGGGTGGAGGGCTTGACAGGGAAGGGGCTTGAGGGGATTTTCTGGGGTGACAGAAGGGAAACACCCTGTGAACCAAACTGAACACTTGAGACCTTATGCATCTCACTACATGGAAATCACACCCAAATCAAACACATAAAGTTTGAAGGCTGCAATTCAGTATCTAGAGATTTATGCTACAGATATATTATCATAGGAAAATGCTGCATTTACAAGGTAATTTCCGGCAGCATTGTTTGAAATCCCAAAAGACTGGAAACCACCTAAATGCCCTCCCCTAGATGACTGTTTAAATAAATTACATTAATCCCATTCAATGGAATACTATGCAGCCATATAAAGGAATGAGGAAGCTTTGTGGGCTGACAGTGCAGGGTCTTAAAGTGGCAGTGTTCAGGAGAAAAGGCGAGGTACACAATGTCATGGAAGAGTTTTATGTTTTGTCTTTTAAAAGACAAGGATGTTTAAGAAAATGTCTGTCATCACTCTAGTCACTGGAGTATCATCCAACAAAACCACAGGGAAGGTTGGCAACTACTGGTCTGGGATCTTTAAATCTGTCAATGTCACGGAAGGAAAGAAAAAGCTGTCAAGACAAAGAAATGCAAAGTGTGATCCTAGGTGGAACTGGCTATGAAGGGTGTCCCTGACAAATGGGCAGACCCGAAAATGGGCTGTCTGTCCAGTAGCAGTGAGTCTTGGCTCTCGCCAAGTTCCTGACTGTGAGTTACACTGCACCAATGCAGGCTGGTGCCCGTTCTTAGGAGACCCCTGCTCAAGTTTTCCGAGGCCAACTATCCTGATGACCACAACTGTCAAATACATAGTTCAGGAAAAAAGGAAAAAGAACGGGGTGTGGGTTCAGGAGTGTTGAGACGAAGCAAATGAGGTGTCAAGGCTGATACCAGTCACTCGGGGCAAAGGGACGCAGCTGTTCACTACTCAGCTCACAAGGTACCTGCATTATAAACCATTCAAAACAGCAACTGGAGAAGGAAATGCATAAAAAGGGACCGTTTCTTATAAGGTGGGGAGCAGAACAGATACACTGCTTTTGCCTGTGTGTGGTGCTGGGGATCAAACCAGGGACCCCCATTGCCAGGGGTGCTACACTGGGGAAGGGGAGCCAGGGCCAGCGCAGCGGGGTTTTGGGGACTGTGTGGGACAGCAGCCCCCGGCAACAGCTCCACTGAGGTGGATTCCCGCTCCTGAGGCTGGGGAGGGGCTCGGGGCGGGGCCCCTGGCTGGCGAGTGAGAAAGTCCACTGCTCAACAGTTTGGGCACATTTTACACTTTACAACCACCCCCACAATCCATTTTAGGGTACTTTCGTCCCCCCCCCACCCCGAAAAGGCCACATCCTTCGGCAGTCACTACCCATTGTTGGGCCCTTCCAGTCCTCGGGCCCGGGCAGCCCTTACTCTCCGGCTAAGCCTCAGGGCACCTCTCCCCGGCCGCATCTCAGAACCCTCCGGTGGCCGCTGTTCCTTGCGCCTGCGCAGTTCCCCACCGTGCGGAAGGACAGGCCCTGCATGCATGCCCCAGGCCTGCCTCCTGCTCGGCCTCTTGGGGCCCTTCAGTAGCACCTGCCCAGCGGCCCCAGTACTGAATAACAGGCGCCTGGGCTCGTGTGCTAGTTTTCAGTGACCTCACGATGCCCTGGCCCATCTCACCAATCTGACAGTGTTGCCCAGCCCGTGCCCGCACAGGTATGGAGCCCAGGGCTCCCACATGCAGGCCAGCCCTGCACACCGACTGCCGACTGCCCACTGCCCGCTTCTCCCGCCTCCCCCAGGGGAAGAGCCACGGCCGCCACATCCCCACCGAGTACGTCCCTTCAAGCATCTCACACCCAAAGCTGAGCTCCCCAACCGCTCCTCACATCCCATAATTTCGCAACCCCAACACCCTTGGAGTCACCCCAATTTCTCTCTCGCCCTCACACATCCCACCCATTCCGTGGCTCAGCCCTGCGGCTACCCAGGTCCTCCTGAGGCTGCTCGTGGTCTCCCCCTGCTGGGCAGTGAGCTCAGCGCAGGGCGGCCCCCTGAGGTCCCAGGGAGCCTCTGCCAGGCCAGGTGCAGAGAGGGCTGGAGAGATCAGTGTCTTCCCTGTCCTCACCTATGGCAGCCAGAGGGATTCTGTACAAACAGGTCAGACCAGGCCAGGGATTTAGCTCAGTGGTTCCGGCACCTGCCTCGAAAGCGCAAGATCCTAAGTTCGATCCCTGGTACCAAAAAAAAAAGAACAAGCTCCCAGAATTCCAACCCACTCAGGCCCAAGGAGCACCGCTCACTTATCTTCCTCACCATTTGTCTCCACTACTAGGACAGGAGCTCTGTGACAGCAGGGATTTGTCTCTGGCTTCCTGAGACAGCTCCTGTACCTAGGAGAACCCGCTGGGACAGAGGGGCTCAACAGGCACAATTAAATGATCACAGTGAAACTACCCACGTGCATCCTACAGACACCTGTGTACTCTCCCACTCTGGCCTTGGGCTTCCTTCTCTGGGCCTCTCTGACTGCGCTGCCTGTGGACTGGCTGCCTGTCTGCCTCCCTCACCAGACGGGGCCTCCAGAGGGAAGGGAGGGCCTGACTCTTCTCTGGCCCCCAGCTGATCTCTGGAAGCATGAGCTGGATAAATCCCCTCTCTCAGGGGCTCAACCCTGAACTTCCTGAGTCTCAGCTCAAGCTCAGCTCCTCCAGGCTGGCCACCCCTGGGCTCCCACAGTGCCTCCCACAACATGACATCTGTCATCACACATGTGAATCCCAAGCTGGACCATCTCAGCCTGGGAGCTCTTGAAAACAGGATCAGGGTCTCACCCAAGCAGGGGCCCCAGCATCACCCAGCACGGTGCCTAGACCACAGGTGAGTTCAGATTCCCAGCGAGCATCACCAACTTTGCTGAGATGTCCCTCAGTGCCCAGGTTCTGCTCTGGCTTCCAAAGACCAGCACTGACTAACACCTCAGAGCACCCCTGAGGTGAGATCTCTTGTCCCTTCCACACCAGACTGAATTATCACAGCTCCCCAAGGTCAGCAAAGGCCAGGAGTGGAGAAGGATGATCTCTAAGGGGTGTAAGAGACCTGGGTGGAGGAAGTGTAGGAAAGAGGGACCAGACTTAAGGCAAGAGCAGGCCTCTGGGGGGCTCAGGCCTCTGCCTTCAGAGTGGCACCCCAAGCCTGCTTGCCCCTCAGCCTTTCCCATCTGGCCCACTGATCACCCCAAGCCAGGAGCCGCCTTTACTCCTATTCCTGCTACAACCCAATCTCCACTCAGCTGCCAGCATGTTCTTCAAAAGGCAAGGCAGGCATACCTGTAATCTTAGCACTTGGGAGGCTGAGGCAGGAGGGGATCACCATGAGTTCAAGGGCAGCCTGGGTTGCACAGTGAGAGGCTGCCCGGAAAAAAAAAAAAAAAAAAAGCCAAAGTAGATCATGTTGCTCCCATGTGCAAACCCTCCCATGGCTTCCCAGTGAACCCTGAATAAAAGCCAAACCCGACGTAGGGTTTATAAGGGCCTACAAGATTTGGCCCCCCCCATGCTCCCCAACTTCATCTGTATTTTAGCCTCTTCAGCTCCAGCTACAAACATATGAAGCTCCTGACTACCCCAGGGCCTTTGCACTGTGGGCCCCTCCGCCCAGACCTCTCATCTCAGATGCTGCTTCCTCAGCAAGAGGCTTCTCACCGTGATCACGTGAGCCTGTTTTAGTTCTCTTCATATAAGGTACCACAGTCAGGAAGCACTACCTTGCTACTGCAATTCCTTATTTGTCTACCGTCTGTCCTCCCCGGAGGGACCTCAGACTTGTTCCTGCTGTGGCCCCTGCTCTGAAAACAGCACCTGGGTCGGAGTACTCCATAAACGCCCAGTGAAAGCAGGACTACGCATGATCGCAGGCGCGCCGCTCGGCCCAAGACCCTGGCGCAGCGACCCGACTCCAGACCAGGCCCAGGAACCCTGGGCCTGCCAGCCGCGAGATCCCCTCCGGTACTTTCCGGTCGGCGCGCAGACCACTGGTCCCTGAGGCCCCGAGCCAAGGTGGTCCCTCCTGCAGCCACGTCCCGCATGACCCCTCACAACACTCTCCCAGGCCTGTGTTCCTGACTCTGCAGCCCTCTTCCCTGCTCGGCCGAGTTCCCTGTGTCTCCCTTCTTCCTTACCAGCTTCAAACAGCGTTTCCCGCCACAGGGTACGCAGCCGCGAACCTTGACTCCAACGTGCGCATGCCCAGAGCTGCCGAGCACAGACTCGAGCCACGCCCTAATTCCACCACCAGAGAAGCAAGCCCCGCCCCCAGGAATGCGTCCCAAGCCACGCCCCCTGGCGCGCCTCCTTCGCCTTCGCAGCCTCTCGCGGCCCTACCCCTCCCTCCTCCGGTTGTCCTGCGCAGCGCCTGCTGCCTCCACCCACCGGCACGGTGTCAGGGCAACTACCCGGCCTAACGCCCGCCCTTCCTGCAGAGGTTGGCCGTTACGGGGCTCCCAGCCTCGGCTTCCCATTCTGTAAACGGGCCCCAGTGGAAAGGGTGATCCTTTGTAACTCTCATCTCTGCTGCCCCCACACATCCTCGCGCCTCGCCGCCTCTCGCTTCTCACCATCCAGCCGTCGTCCCTGCAGCCCGCCCCTTGCCAGGCCTCTCCGCCCAACACTGGCTTCTGGGAGGACTGAGAGGACATTGCGCTTGCCCCGGCTGGGGACAGACGCTCGCAGGCCCAGCCCCTGGCTGCCCCGTTTCCCGTGCCAGGGAAGACAGGGCCTCCCGTGGGCGCTTCCCTGCCCTGGGCCGCCTCATCCAAGGCCCTCTCCTACTTCCAACCAGTGCCACCCATGTCCCTCTGTCGGGCAGCGGGCTCAGAGGAAGACGTTTATTTTCTTGCTCACTGTGGGTCCCAGTGCCTAACCACATGGAAACAATCGCTCCATCAACGCATAAAGGACAAGAACCGTGGGTCCCCAGAGTGGCCGGCAAGGGCCAGCCAAATGGACCCCAGCGAGCACTTGCTGATCACACTGAGGCTCTGCTCCCTCGGCGCCTGGGGTCCTCTTTGTCCACCAAGTGCCCATTCAGCTTGTGCTAGGAGGGGACTCTGACCTCGGCAGCCAGGGCCAATGGGCCTGGATGCAGATGGCCTGTCACCTACCAGCCTGGCAGCCTGGGGAGCCCAATGGGGGCGCTGGCTTGTACCCTTATTTTCTTGTTTTTGTCTTGCTTTTAGTTTTTATTAAATAAAAGGACCAGAGGATGGCTCCTGTGGCCTCCCAGGGTGGGGCCCCAGCCCACCCTCCCTCTGTCCAAGGTGCACTGTGTACGGGCTGGAGGTGTAAGCTGGGTGGAGTGGGAGAGGTCAGAGGTCAGGATTTGGGACCCATCACCCTTCCTGGAAGACTCAGTGGGCCGGAAAGGCAACTCTTGGACCCTGAGACTCATCCTGAAGGCCACAAGGCGGGACCAACAGGCTGGCCCAGGCCCCTTCCCACCCTGGATGAAGAAGGGTGACAGCATCTGTCCCTGGAAGGGTGTTGGGCAAGGCTACTCGTGGACGTCCCAGATCTCTGAGAGCAGAGGCGGCAGCTTCTTGTCCTGCAGCCGCAGGGCGAAGACCTGCTCTGAGTGCACAGAGCTGAGCGTTCGCAGGCTCACAAGCTTCATCAGCATTCGAGGGAAGCGGAGCTGGTCCTGCTGACAGGAGGGAGGTGGTGCTGAAGAGGTCCCTGCCCTGCCAGGAGCCCCCCAAGGACCCAAGGTGGGGCTGGGGAGGGCTGAGGGCACTGTACCAGGCAGACCCACCTGCGGCCTCTTGATGCGCGTGTAGGACAGCAGCGCCTCCACATAGGGCTGCTGTAGCGCCTCCACGCGGCTGGGCTCCTGCACGTTGGGGCGGTCAGCAGAGAAGATGTTGATAGCAATAAGCAGGGCGTACTCAGCGTCGTCTAGGCCCAGCCGCCGCATGGCTCTTGAGAACTCGAAGATGGGGTTGATGAACTCCACCTGCAGGCCTGGGCAGGGACGGGACCTGGAAGTCAGCTCCTTCTGCCTGCACCCGACCTCCAAGCCCTAATCCCTGTGCAGCCCAGGCAGTGGGCTTCTGGCCCTGTGTGTTCCACAGGCCCTGCTGGTGCTTGCCAGGCATGAGGAAGGAAGGAAGGAAGGAAGGAGAGAGAGCGTTTACTGAGCACTTCCTACCATCCTCACACCCTGGCCATCTCCTCCCCACGTCAGAAGCTCCGGGAATGGGACGGGATGGAGCTTAGGCCAGGTCACCTCGTGCCTGGCCCCGGGCCTCCCCTGCTCTGGGTAAAGCTAGATGGACTTGTTCATTCATCCATCACACACTGAGCACCTCCTGTAGGCCAGGCCCTGGGCAGTTTACAGGATGATGGCCCAGCTCTTGGAGGACTCTGGGGTGGAGAGAGCAGATAACAAGGTCACCAGTGAGGACCCACCCTGTCAGAGGGCGAGCACGGCAGGGTAGTGAGGCCACTGAGGATCGTGTTCTCCTGTCCCACACCGTGGCCAGGGAATGACCCGGGGAGGCAAGGGAGCAAGTCACAGGCTGCCCGAGTGTCCTGAGTGGGGCCTGGTCGACTGCTCTCCCCAGACTTAGGGGTTACACAGAGCACGAGGCTTTCAGCCTTCAAACTGAAGGTCTTGGGCCTGCCAGATGACGTGGTCACCCTCGTCCCAGGCAAGGGAGCAGCAAGTAGAAAGGCCCTGGAAGCAAGCTTGATGGTTCAAATGTAAGTGAGAAGCCTGGTGCTCAAGGGGGAGGAGGCGGCACTGAGGGTAGAGAAGGAAGAAGGCCAGGTCTGGAAGGGCTTTGTGGGCTACAATGAGGACTGGCTCTTCTCCCAGTAAGACGGGAGCCACAGAAGGTCCTAGCACAGGAGAGGCTCCCACTGACAGAGTGCTGCCAGCACCCTTGGGACTGCTCTGGGAAAAGGAGCTGGAGGGGTGCTGGGTAGCAGTGGAGAAAGAGTGGGAAAGGGCTGGATTCCCAGCCTCCTCTCCAGCCCTACCTCCTGCCTGGGCTTCTCGTGTTCTGTAAAATCCTCCAGCTACACCCTATGTCAGGCCTTTGCCCATGCCAAAGCTCTACCCGGAGTCCTCTACTTGAGCTCAGAAGGAGAGAGTCATTGGGGCCAATTCAGGTGGGGGGCTGGGACTGGAGGAGGAAGGCGGGGCTGGGAAGAGATGCCTAGGATAGATACCCAGAGGAGCGGGGGAAAGGCAGAATGTGCCGAGAAAGCCCAGCTGAGGTGTGAGGTGCAGGCGAGGCCTCTGCACATACCCACTGGCAGTTGGGGCTCAGCTGCATGGTCCAGGCCCCCCCCCCCCCCGTCACCTGCCCAGCTAACTTCTGCAGGGGCTGCCTTGGTGGGAGGGGAGGGCGGAGGTGCTGCTGCCCAAAATGAGCTTCTCTGGTCTCAGGTTGGCTCCTGAGGTGAGGCCCCTCCCCAGCTCCAGCCCCTGGTGACCTGCGCGGTGGAAGTCATCCTTGCTGTAGGTGAAGTCCTTCAGAAAGGTGATGCACTCTGTCTCATGGTTGTAGCGCCGGGCTGTCTCCAGGAGCATGATCTGGGGGTGGCAGGGACCCAGGCACTTTAGCTGCTGCCCCCTCCATATGAGCCCCAAAGGAACAGGAACAGGACGGAGGTCTGCCGCAGCAGTATTCGGTGCTACACTGCAGCTCTCTCCCTCTAGACTCTGGGGCAGACACTCGCTCTCTGCTCCCATCCTCAGGATTCTTTCCCAGGGGGTTGCAGCCCGGCAGGGAAGTTTAACCCGTACATTCCCCTGGGCCAGGACATGGAGTAGAGCCTTGCATGCAGCAGGCAATCAATACTAATTCACTGGCTCAAATGTCACCCCTGAGAAAGTTCTGGCCGATCCTCCATTGTTCTCAGCCTCTTCCCCTTTCTCCTTGGCCCCCAGGAGGCTGACCATCCTGTTTAGAGCCTGGATGCTCCCTGGAATGTCGCCCACTCAACGGAAACAGCTGCTCTCGCCCTTCACTCTGCTGCCACCATCTGTCTCACCGCAGTCTCAGGGGTCCTGGTGGGCAGAGAGGAGGCGGCCCGGTGGTTACCTCGATGGTGGACGCCTTCAGGAGGGCGATCTGGTCCTCGCGGCCCAGCTGCAGGAAGCCAGGCACCTGTTTGGCAAAGTCCACGATCTCCTGGACCGAGATGATGGCCAGCTCCGTGAAGTGGGCGAAGCGCTGCTGGCGGGCATCACGGGACTGCGGGTCTGCACCCAGGGGCCAGGGCTGGGATGCAGAGGCCCAGGGTCACACCTAGCACCACTGCCATGCTCTGGGGGCCTCCTGCCCCATGGCCCAGAGCCCTCCCAACTCACCACGTGGGGCGGAGGGGGGCGCCGCGTACCGTGACTTTGGGCTGGTCAGAGAAGGAGCGTTTGTTGCACTGCAGCTGGGCTGCCACCAACTGCTGGATCATGAGCTCCTGGGCTGCTGTTAACTGGACACCTTCGCCTTCGCCGGGGCCCTGGCCACCCAGCTCGGACCCTCCCAGGGACGCCCCAGGCCCGCAGGCTGAGCTGCCACTGCCCTTTGGCTCCACAGGTGACTGCTGCTGCTGCTGCTTCTGAATCTTCTTCTTCCGGATCTGTTCTTCCGAGAGGACACCTATGGAGGACACAGCCTCAGCAGTGGCCTCAGGCCTGGCAGGGGCAGGCGCCGCTTGGGCAAGCCCCGCCCTCACTCACACTGCTCCCTCATCCCCGCCTCCTTGCACTTGCGCAGCCGGCACTGCTGGCACTTGCGCCGCATGAAGGCATCCATTTGGCAGGTTCCACCGCCCCGGCAGACGTAGCGCCCTGCTCCACCATGGACCACGCTGCGCCGAAAGAAGCCTTTGCAGCCTTCGCAGCTCAGCACATTGTAGTGGAAGCCAGAGGCCTTGTCCCCACACACGCGGCAGAGCTCGTGGCCCAGCATCTTTGGAGCTGGGCCCTTCTTTCGCTTGCGCTCTGGCTCGGGCTCCTCATCTGGTTCTAGGATGACTGGGATGGGCAGACAAAGACCGTGAGAAAGAGCCACAAAGAGACAGCAGCCAGGGCGCAGGTCCACGAGCCGTCCCAAGGCAGAGCCAGAGGACACAGCGTGACAGGAGGAGATGCGTACAGCCAGGGCCAGCAAGTCTGAGGGGAAGACGCACAAGTCAGTGGCCGAAGAGAATGACTCGAAGCGGGAGGCCTCCAGGACAAATGGAAGGACATGTTTCTTATCTTTCTCCCTGCCTATACCCCTCCCAGCTCCGAGCCAGCTCCCTATCCCGGACCCTGGACCCCGTCTCACCCACGATGCAGGCCGAGCTGGCCCCATTGGTGCCTGGGACATCAGGGTCCGGACCCTCGAGCCACGGCTCAGGGCCCTCTTTCTTTATAGTGGGTGAAGAGGAGGAGGTGCTGGGCTGAGGGGGGGCATTTCCTGAGAGGCAGACGGAAGAGAGGAAGGAGCAGTGAGCTTCTGCCGGGGTGCAGTGGGACTCAGTGAGAGGAGGGTCACTCACCGGGCTGGGCACTGTCCACGGAACTCGTGGTGGGGGAAGACATGGTGGGGTCACGAGGCGGTCTGCAGAATACAGGGGACTGAGAGGCTTGTGGGGCTCAGGAGGCGTGGGTCAGGCCCTTTTTCTTCCCAGAATGTTTTTACTACTGCATAGTCTCCACTTCCAGCTGGGTGCAGTGGCACACGCCTGCAATCCCAGCTCAGAAACTGAGGCAGAAGGGTCGCTGAGTTCCAGGCCAGCCTGCACAGTGGCTTCAAGGACAGCCTGGACTGCGTATCAAGACCCTGTCTCCAAAAATAAAAACCCCAAAACCAAAACACCAAAAAAGACTCCTTGCAGCCCTAGTTCCCTTAGCCTTGCCCCTCCTTCATGTCACTCCTCCTTTCAGGCCCCGCCCCGGGCCCCACCCACCTGCTCTATCCAAATACCAGCCATTCCTTCAACAGTACTGTCCTCAAGTCCTCCCTCCATCCAGGTTCACACCACCTACTCTTACTAAGCCGCCATCTGACCTCTGCTGAAAAAGCCCCCATGTCTGCTTCTGATCCCATCTCCGCCCATCTTTTCTCCTAGGCCCCGCCCCATTCCTCCCAGGGCCCGCTCCCTCCGTCCAGGGATGGCCTTCCCTACACTTCTCGCCGCCCCATCTGAGCCCCCTGCCCCAAGCTCCGCCCACTCCTCGCTTCAGATCCCGCCTCTCCTCCCACCGAGCTCCGCCCCACACCTCGCTCCAGGTCCCGCCCCTCTCCGAGCACCAGTGGGAGGCGGGGCTCATGGCTGCGCGCCGGGGTCTAATGGGCAGCCTTTCGCTAGGTCTTCTGCTCCCGTTGCCCTGGAAACATCCGGGGGAGGTGCGAGCTGCGGAGTGAAGGGAATGGAAGAGGAGCGGGAGGCTGAGTGGAGCCGGCGGACAACGCCGGGATCCCCGCGGCCGGGCTCCTCCCGCGACTCCCCAATCTCACACTTTTGTTTTGTTTTGTTGGTACCGAGGATCGAACTCGGGACCTTGCGCTTGCGAGGCAGGCGGCGGAACCACTGAGCTAAATCCCCGGCCGCGACTCCCCAATCTCGAGTACACTTGCCTCCGTCCCTGGCTCTGCTTCTCCTCCGCAGCAGCACCTGACAGGCCACCACTACCGGGTCCTCTCAAAAGTAACTTGGGGGGGGGGCTTGTATCTTGCCTAGAGTGCGCGAAGCCCTGGGTTCGGTCCCCAACACCGCAAAAACAAGGAGAAAAAGTAACTTCGCCACTTCTTCCGGCAACCCCCGCCTTGCGTCATTTCCGGAAAAGGGTGTCTAGCCAAAGGTGACGGATTTCCGGTTCGCTCTTGCCCACTTGAAGGACTACCGCTACCCAGCGCGGAAGTCCTCTGCTCACCGGGTTTATTTCTCCGGGTAGCTCATCTTGAGGTCTGACAGGAAGGTTCCAGCAGGCTCAGTGAATGTTGGGCTTTCGAGGAGGGCGGACGGTCGCAACCTTTAAAGCCTGGTGCTTTGTGGCCTTAGCCTGTCCTTGTGCTTCTCTGGGCTCCGGCCAAAGATTTAATGGTCAGAAATCTCCTCGGCAGTGGCTGCTTCTCGCACATGTCTAATTTGAAGGATGTTTAACCTATTGGTTTTTGCGAGTTTTCTGGTTTTGCAGGCATTGCATGTTGGTTTTAAATAGGTTCAGTTCCAAACCTGGATCCAGAACTGGTTTTGTATTTTGTTGTTTCTTTCTCCGGTGTCGGGGATGGAACCTCCGCCTCGTGCGTGCTAGGCAAGCTGTCTACCACGCAGCTATACCCCCAACCCCTGGAAAAAATATTTTAAAAACAAAATGTTGGTGACTGGAAGAATTGAGTAATTAAAAAGCCTTGCCTCCCCCTACCAGAGAGGTAAAATAATCGCTTCCAAAGAAAAATAAAATAATTCAACGTATACAATCTCCCCAAGGGGTAACCAGATCTTTATTAAGCATGCTGTATGTACCGGGGATTGAACTTGGGTCCTTGTGCTTTTGAGGCAGGTGGCAGAACCACTGAGCTAAATCCCCAGCCCTGTATGCTTTTGTTTTGTAGTCAGTTGTTTTTCAGTTCTGAGGCTCAAACCCACAGAGTCTGGCTTATGCTCAACTGTACAGCTGATCTGCAACCCCCATCCGTGAATGCTTTAAGGTATATTTTAAATGTGTGCATATTCATATATATGAGAGATCCATGTTAGGCCTTGTCTATTCATTTTCTCCCCCCTTCTCTTTCATTGATGATTGAGCCCATGGAGTGCTGAGCTACATCCCCAAACCTTGTTTATTTATTTTTACTAGGTATTGAGCCTGTTACCAGAAGGTGGGTCTACGGAGTTATTTCCAGGTTCTCGGTGTCCTGAACAAAGAATCCGACAGGACACACAGAAAAGGTAGCGGGATGCACATGTATTGAAGGTAGAAAAGAAGTTCGCTCTGCAGAGAGAGCGGCGGTGAACAGACTCACAGCGGCAGCGAGGATAAAGGAAAGGGTCTCTGTATCTGCAGGCAAACAGGGCATCGGGACGGTTGTCCTATCGGAACTCACTGGGCTGGTGCCAGGGTGGAACTTTCCTGTCAAAGGCTTGGATGGCTTCACGCTAGATGTAAATGAAGAATTGAAAACAGCACTTTTCTGATTGGCTCTAGTACAGGGAGAAACAGAGGTGCTGTGTCACCCCTCTTCCTTTGTCCAACTGTGAACACCACACCAAGCTAATGATGATCCTGCCTTAAATTTAGGAGGTTTCCTGGCCAAGGTGGCAGATTACTGACAGCAGTGAGACCTGAGGAGAGGTCTTGGATCCGATGTGCCTGACCTGGCCCTCTATCAGAAGCCTGAGTTCTCCAGGGTCCTTTATTTCCCTTTACCCCTCCCCTTTTCTCCCTGTTCCTTCAAATACTGACCTTGATCTTCAATAAACACAGCTACTTACTACACACTTTGAGGTGTGCACTTGGCATTCTTTCCATGTTGTACACAAGAACCTGGACAATTTTGGGTCCTCCCAAAATAACAGCTCCTCATAGGGTGTTCAGGAAGTGCAGAGTCATCCTGGATCCTGTGCTCTGTGCACATGGCCTGGGTCTTGTGACTCTGACAGACTCTTCCTGGTTGTTTGACCAATTTTGCCCCAGCTCTATTCTCCTACTATGAACCCCAGTCTTTCTTTAATTGTTTTATTTTGACAGTAGGTCTTGCTAAGTCACCTGGCTGGGCTTGAACTTTCGATCCTCCTGCTTCAGCCTCCCAAATAGCTAGTCTTACAGGAGGGTGTAACCACACCTAATTTATTTTTGCACTAAAAGTTATGTCTAATTTTTTAGTGTTAGAAAAGTCCAAAAGGAACCAGACATGGTAGCACATACCTGTAATCCCAGCACTCGGGGGGCTAAGGCAAGAGGATGGCCACGAGTTCAAGGCCAGTCTGGGCTACATAGTGAGATCCAGTCTCAAAAAAACACAATACAAATTAATTAATTAATTTAAATAAATAAAAAGGGCTAGGGATATAGCTCAGATCAAAAGTCCTAGGTTCAATCCCTATTAGTGTGGGGGGGGGGAGTACAAGAATCAGGTGTGATGGTGCATGTTTGTAACCCCAGCACTCAGGAGGCTGAGGCAGGAGTACAAATGGCTGAAATGGGCTAAAGATGAATTACTGAGCAATACTTGTGGAGTGAGTCACGTCAGGCTTAGTCTCAGCTGACCTACTTTATGAAATAGAGGAAATTATGTCTTATTGTTAATGAGGTGGAATTCACCATAGAGACAGAGGACAAATAACTCCTGGGCCTTCCCCCCATTACTTATTAAAAGTACTGTACTGGGGCTGGGGATTTAGCTCAGTGGTTCTGCCACCTGCCTCAAAACCGCAAGGTTCCGAGTTCGATCTCTGGTACCAAAAAATAAATAAATAAATAAAATAAAAGTGCTGTTCTGAATGTTTTGTGTAATCTCATCACTGGATAGGGTGAGGCTGGAGAATCATGAGTCCAAGGCCAGCCTCAGAAACAGCAAGCTTGTCTCAAAAAAACAAAATAAAATAGAAGTATGATTTGTGTTTTCTTTTGAGGCAGTCAACCACTTACACGCTGCCTTTGCTAAAGAACAGTGACCTCACTTGGCCTACACATGCCTGTTGAGTAACTAAAAGCAGAACAAAGCCTGGTCTTCATTTTTAAATCTCTTGTTTTTGTGTTTGTTTTGTTTTTGAGATAGGAACTCACTATATAGCACAGGCTGGCCTTCAACTTTTTTTTTTTTTGGTACTGGGGATTGAACTCAGGACCTTACGCTTGCGAGGCAGGTGGTGGAACCACTGAGCTAAAAATCCCTGGCCCCTGGCCTTCGACTCTTAATAATCCTCCTGCCTCGGCCTCCCAAGTCCTGGGACCGCAGGTGTGCACCACCATGCCTGGCCCAGTTCTCTAGAGAACTGAAGCAGATTTCTGTAAGGATGACCTAGCCCTGCTCTCTGAGGAGGGAGGACCAAAGATGGCTGCCACTGCACCCTTGGCCACTGCCCTGTGTCCTACCCAATGGCCTGCTCTCTCCCCCCAGAGTGTGTTTCTTTTCCTACTTTTAGTTGGTCTAAAATTGCTCAGCAGAGCGTGTTTCTTTTCCTACCTTTAATAAATGTAAAGCATCACTACCTTTTGCGCTTCTCTTGACCAATTCTTTTTTTTTTCCTTTTGGTACCGGGGATCGAACTCAGGTCCTTGCGCTTGCGCAGCAGGCATCGAAACCACTGAGCTAAATCCCCAACCCTGACTCTTGACCAATTCTTGGTTCAGGACAGAAAGAACTTGGAAACCACCTCTAGAAGGAGAGCCCAGAACCTAGAAACAGGATTGGTGTGAGTTCAAGGCCAGCCCGAACTACATATAGGGACACACTGTCTCAAAAACCCTCCAAAAGCACAAGGACTGGTCCTCCTTCAGGGTGCGAAGAAGAATTTCAAGGTGCGGTAGTGACATTGCTGTATCTTCGAGGAGACTCAGGAGTGCCAGTGTCAGATACAAACGGTCAGTGGGTGGGGGTTTTGTTATCCGAACCTTGCTGTGCAATGTTCTCATTTGTAACTGACCCAGTGGCCCCTTTATTATTTTTTTTGGTTAACAGCTTTATTGAAATGCAACTCACATGACACAACATTCACTTGATTAAAGTAAAGTTCAGCTTTTTTTTTTGTCCCGGGAACTGAGCTCAGGGCCTCAAGATTGCCAGGCAGGTGCTGTGCTGCTCAGCTACATCCCCGGCCCTCAGCTTTTTTTTTTTTTGCTGTACTAGGAATCGAACTCAGGACCTTGCCCTTGCCAGGCAGCTGTAGCACCACTGAGCTAAATCCCCAGCTCTCAGCTTTTGAAGATATATTCAGAATTGTGCAATTATCACGACAACCAATTATAGAGTTTTTTTAGACAGGATCTTGCTGTTGGTTCAGGCTGACCTTGAACTCACTACGTAGCCCAGCCTGGCCTCACACTCGTGGCAGTCCTCCTGCCTCAGCCTCCCAAGTGCTGGGAGACAGGCGTGCTCCACCACACCCAGTTAGAATATTTTTTAAAAATAAATTTTATTTTTATCCCATTTACCCCCTCCTCTTATGCCCCCTCCCCTCCCTATGTACAAAAGCTTTGTTTCCATTTTTTCCATTTTCACTTTTTTTCTTGTCCCTTTGTTCCTTTCTCCCTCCCTCCACCCATGTTCCCCTTCCCATTTGAACATTTTCTTCCCATTTTCCATGTCCCAATATCTATTATACATTTTAGTCCTTATTTCCACTTTCCGTTTTTCACACCAGAGAAACAATGCAGTATCTAAACATATGTGTCCAATTTATATCACTTAAGACTATGGTCTCAAAGTCCATCCATTTAGCTGTAAATGTCTGAAGCTCATCCTTCTTTACCGCAGAGTAGTATTCCATGGTATAAAAAAACCACATCTTCTTTATCCATTCATTGGTTAATGGGTATTTGGGCTGTTTCCAAGATTTAGCTATTACAATAAACATGGGTGTGCATATATTGCTGTGGTATGATGCTGTTAATTCTTTTTTTTCTTTTTGGTACCGGGGATCAAACTTGGGACCTTGAACTTGCGAGGCAGGTGGTGAAACCACTGAGCTGAATCCCCAGCCCTCCTCCACATTTGTTATTGGTTGATTTCTTGATAGCAGCCATTCTTTCTGGAATGAAATGGAGTGAATTACCAGTGATGTCAATTATTTTTTCATATATTTATTTGCCTTTTCAAATTCTCCATCTGAGAAGTGTCTTTTATTTCAAATGCCCATTTTTGCATTGGGCCTTTAAATTTGGGGGGAACTGATTTTTTAAAGTTCTTTATATATTCAAGATACTAGTCCTTTATCTGAATAACTGGTAAAAATTTTTCCCACTCTGTGGGTTGTCTCTTCATGCTGTTGGTGGCTTCTCTTGCTGTGCAGAAGCTCTTTAATAAGATGAGGTCCCAGTTGTTGATTCTTTGTAGTATTTCCTGTGCTGTCTGGGTTTTCTTCATGAAATCTTTGCCTACACACATGTCCTCAAGCATTCTACCTAGTCTCTCTTCCAGCAGATTTAGGGTTTCTGATTTAATATTTAGATCTTTAATCTATTTTCCATTTTAGGTTTTTACAGTACCAGAGATTGAATTCAGGACTTTGCCCTTTCGAGGCAGGCTCAGCGCCCCGAGCTAAATCCCCGGCCCCCCGCCTTTTAATTTTTTTTTTTTTTTGTACCGGGGATTGAACTCGGGTCCTTGCACTTGCACAGAAGGCACAAACCACTGAGCTAAATCCCCGGCTCTGCCTTTTAATTTTATGTGTGTATGTACGCATGTACGTCAGGGTCTCACTTAGGTGCTCAACCTGGCTTTGAACTCACAATCCCCCTGCCCTCCTAAGATCCGTGGCTGCCTGGAACGTTGTGATTTGAAGAGCTGGAATGTTGGAAATGGAAAGCCAAAATTATCTTGGGCTAGTTTAGGCTTTTTAAAAAATTAAATTTATTTCTTTGTTTTTGCAGCACTGGTGACTAAACCCAGGGCTAAATCCCCAGCACTTTTTCATTTTTATTTTTGTTTTGAGACAGGGCCTCTTTATGTTGCACAAGCTGGGCTCAAACTTAACATCCTCCTGCCTCAGCCTCTCAGAGTGCTGGAAGGGAGGCAGTGAGCAAGACGCATACCAGGCCTTCGGAACCTTGGAGCCAAAGCGGAGCGGGAAGAGCCTGACGGGCCCCAGGTTCAATTCCAGAACCCGCCGGAGAGGCTGGGGGCGGGCGCATAGGGCCAGTGCGCCACCGCGTGGCCGGATGGAAATCTGCAGGCTTGCGCCTTGAGCCTGTTGGAGGGGCTCAGAAGGAGGAGGGCCCAGGCTGCTGAAATACAGAGGTGGCTGCTGAGGTTCCCCGTAGGAACATTGCCCATCTGCTGTGTCAGAGGAGTCCCCCAGCGAAAGCTGTTCCAGCCCAGCGTGGTGGCACGCTCCTGTGATCCCAGGGCTAGGGAGGCTGAGGCAGGAGGATCACGAGATCAAGCCCAGCCTGGGGAGCTTAGTGAGACCCTGTCTCAAAAAGGAGAAAAAAAGGGAGCAAGGTTTCCAGGAAGGCCCGTGTGAACCATGCCAGCAAGTGCTAAGGTCCTGAGGCAGGAGCGGTGAGGAGCGCGAGGGACAGGACACAGCACGGCCGGCGGGGCTGGAGCAGATTTTAATGCGCATTCCCCTGTTAAGATGCTGTGGTCTGACCACAGTTCTTATGTAACTATACTACAGAGGCGGGGAGAAGGGGAGCGTGTATGTTAGAAGTGTGGGCAGACGGAGGAGTTAATTCCTTATTTTCTCAACCCGGAAGTCAAAGGATCGTTGACAATGGACAAATCAAGAAATAGCAATACAGGGCTGAAGATTTAGCGCAGTGGTTCCACCTTCTGCCTCACAAGTGCAAGGACCGGAGTTCGATGCCCGGTACCAAAAAAAAAAAAAAAGAAATAGCAATACAAGTCAAGCTACTCAGGAGGCTGAGGAGGATCACAAGTTCAAGACCAGCCTGCGAAACTTATTGAGATGCTGTTTCAAAATAAAAAATAAAACAGGCTGGGGTTGTGGTTCAGTGTGAGGCCCTGGGTTCAGCCCCCATACAAGGTCTGTGTGCACGTGTGTGCATGCTCACACGTTTGTGTTGCTGTGTTGATGCAAATACCTTAAGACTGGTGCCAATGCCAAAATTAGAAACTAAAGGAAGTAAAAGTAGTGAATGTGGTGACACAAACCTGGCATCCCAGCACTTGGGAGGCTGAGGCAGGAGGATTGCCATGAGTTTGAGGCCAGCCTGGGCTACAAGGTGAGTTTCAGGCCAGTATAAATTACACAGTGAGATCCTGTCTCAAAAAAAAAAGAAAGAAAGAAAGAAAGAAAGAAAGAAAGAAAGAAAGAAAGAAGAATATTCCTGCCATTGGGGGGATAAATAGCAGAAGAGGGGGCAAGACTAGGTTTTTGTTGTTGTTTTTGTTAATCATCTTGCAGAGACATGTATTCATTAAAGGGTAATGTGGTGTATGTGTGACACACAAAAGGTAAAAGAAATTCCTAAGAAAAGAAGTGCAAGTGGAAAAGAAAAACTTGCTCAATGACATCAATAATCAGAACAGGACATTTTAATAATGAGGAGAAGCATTTTCCTACTCTTTGGATAACATGTAGGATAAAAACAGAGGTTGCTGGATGAGAGAGACATGAATGATGTGGAGGGGAGAAATTTCAGCAAGGTATGTTCCTTGTGGAATTAAGGTACACTCACTGTGTAGCCCAGGCTGGCCTCAACATTGTGGTGATCCTCCTGCCTCAGCGTCCCGAGTGCTGGGATTACACGTATGTACCACTCTGCAGTTCTTTGAACTTTTCTCTGTGCTTGAAAACCCATAATAAAACAATGGGAAACATACATGGAGCTCTACTGTTGCACCTTTAATACATGAGTGTTTTACTATAGGTCAGTTATATCTATATTTTGTAAAAGTCCAAGTTTTAGTTAAGTAAGAAAAAAATAAGATGCAGATAAGTAAGTAAAGTTTTTTGTTTTTGTTTTTTTTTGGTACCGGGGATCGAACTCGGGTCCTTGCGCTTGTGCAGCAGGCAGTGGAACCACTGAGCTAAATCCCCGGCCCAAAGTTTGTTTTTATTTACTAAAAAAGTACCTGCTGATATTGATGTTTAAATCTAAGCTAAAATCCAAAATCTCCAGTGGAATCTCTCAGAAGAGTTTCCACCCCATTGATCAGTGGGCCCTTCTCAGCTTTGGGCACCGAGTCCACTGAGCTGCATCCCTGGACCACAGGTTTTCCTTTTTTGTTTGTTTGTTTGGTTTTTTTGTTTTGTTTTGAGACGGGGTCTCAGTATGTAGCCGAGGCTGGCCTTGAACTCATGGCAATCCTCCTGCCTCAGCCTCCTGTGTGCTGAGATTACAGATGTGTGACAACTAGATTTCTGATGCCTGTCAACAACTGAGACACTTAGAGAGAAGGTGATGGGCATGTGGATGGACAGAGACCCATGAACTATTTTCCTGGTTTCGGACTGTGGTGGGATTACAGTATGTGTGCATTTCTGTCCTGGCCCAGCATGGTGGTATATACCTATAGTTCCAGGTATCTGAAAGGCTGAGGCAGGAGGATCCCTTGAACCCAGGAGTTCAAGCCCAGCCTGGGCAACATAGCCAGAATATAAGAATAAGAAGGGGTGGGGATGCAGCTCAGTTGAGTAGGCCTTGGGTTTGATGCTCAGTACCGGAAAAGGAAAAGTTAGCCACCCACCCCAAACCCCTGCCAAAACCAGTGGGGTCCTGAGACCTGGCGTGAGCTCTCCCTCCCCCAGGCCCTTCACAGACCTCCTTCAGCCCAGCCTCCCCACTTGTGAAGAAAACATTTGTGGTTAATGAGTATGAGAAAAGTGAAGTGAAAGTTAAAAGCCATGGAGATTAAAGGAGGGGGTGGGGACCGAGATGCCGCCACCCCCATGCGGGGCCAGGAGCCCGGACGGGCAGCTGTTGCCACCTGCAAACACTGCACACAGCCTGGAAACCCTATCCTCGCCCCCTCCCCGTGTCACTCCGAACCCCAGGGTGGGGCGTGGGCAGGGCTGAGTCTCAGGGCTCAGAAGAGGGGCCCCCGAGCCTGGGTCCTAGAGATGTCGTCACTACTGCTGTGGCCGCTGCTGCTGACCCTGCTCACCATGGAGCCCTCAGGGGCCGCCCTGGTCCGGTAGGGATCCCACTGTCACCCCGACCCTGAGAGAGATTCTGTGCCTCTTGCTCTTTAAGCCTGGGTCTCTCGCTTTGGTGCAGTAGATGCCAGAGTCTGCAGCCAGGATCCCAGCTCCTCTGTCTTAGGCCTCCATCTCTAAGCTAGGGCCTCACTGCTGAGGGCCTCAATTCCACCTGTGGGGAGCCCCTAAATGTGTGTGTGTGTGTGTGTGTGTGTGTGTGTGTGTGTGTTGGAGATGGGATCCAGGGGCACTCTACCACTGAGCCACATTCCTAGACTTTTATTTTATTTTATTTTATTTTGATACCAGGGATCGAACTCAGGTCCTTGGGCTTGGGAAGCAGGTGGCGGAACCACTGAGCTAAATCCCCGGCCCTAGACTTTTATTTTTTGAGACAGGGTCTCATTAAGCTGCCTAAGGTGGCCTTGAATTTAAGATCCTCCTGCCTCAGCCTCCCCTGTAGCTGGGATTACATCCATGAGCTACACCTGGTTTATGACTTTGCACTTTTAAGTCCAAGATTCCTCAGTGCTGAAACCCATGACCGGAGACCTCCTCCCTCCCCAGGATGCATTTTTACTGTGTGTGAGGCCTCACCCTGAATTCTAATGACCTGGCTTTGGGGTCTCCGGCCAAGTAACCCCCACTCAGTTCTTGGAGACCCAGATCTATCACAGTTAAACTAGGACTGCTGCAGCAGATTCATATCCTCTAAACATCCAGGTCTCACCCGCCTTTTACTGGGAACTAAATCTGAGGGGTATTCTATCACTGAGCTAAATCCCCTTTTTATTTTTATTTATTTATTTATTTTTGAGACAAGGTCTCACTTTGTAGTTCAGGCTGGCCCTAAACTTGCTTTGGAGCCCAGGCTGCCCTCAAACTCATGGCAATCCTCCTGCCTCTGCCTCCCGAGTCCTGGGATGACCGGTGCGCCACCATGCCCAGCTCCCTTTTTATTTTTTATTTGAAGCCAGGTAAGACAGAGTCTTGCTAAGTTGCCCCGCTGGGACTCAAACTTGTGATCCTCTTGCCTCAGCCTCCCACAGTGCTGTGATCACAGCCCTGGGCTCCCCCAGCTCCTGACGGGGGAGGGATCCTCCAGGAAGTGCTCTTCCCGCTTCACATTCTTAGCCTCTCCATTCTGAGGGGGCAGAGGGACAAAGTCCAGAGGGAGGAGGCGGGGCCCCGAGGAGCCACAAAACTATCCCCGCTGCCTGTCGTGTGTGCCAACCTGTCCTGGATGGTTTCCAGTCTTTGCGGAGACCAGCGAGTCTTGAACTGTTGTCCCAGGTCCAAAGGCTGCAGTGCGATCCCCGGGACTGCGTGCCACCCCCCCCACCCCCGCCCCAGGCCCCCTTCCCCTCCCGGGTCACTCATTCGTTCGTGTGTTGTCCCAGGCTGCTTGTGAGCGTGACTGACAGGGTTTAGATACGACAGAGACCACAGGGCCTTTACAGAAAGCCTCGGACCACACCCGCAGCTAAGTGATGGGACCAATGCTCAGGCTTTGAGAGCCACTGCTATAGTTACTTCCTCTTTATTATTTTTTTCTTTCCTTCCTTTTTGGTACTGGAGATTGATTCCAAAGCTGTTCCACAGAGCTACATTCCCTCTCCATTGTCTCTTTTAAATTTTGAGACAGCCTCACTAATTTGCTGAGTTGCCCCAGGTGGGGCTTGAATTTGTGATCCTCCGGCCTCAGCCTGCCAGAATACTGGGACTACAGGCATGAACCACCTCACCTGGCTTACGTCCTCCTTTTCAGGGGTTGAATGAGACTCTGTAGTGTGCATGTTCCTTAGCAGAGCTGAGCCAAACCCACCCTGGCAGTTGTACTGACCGGTTTCCAGGATTCCACATCCTCAGAAGCTCACCAGCCTGTGCTCACCCCCTGGGGACAAACTCCTAGGTAGCACTGTTGGGGTAAAAAGGTGTATCGTAAGATTGTTCTGACTCCTTGTTTTCTTTTTCCTCCTTTTGAGTTGTGTTGACAGAGTTCCTGGAAGTTCCTAGTTAGTTCCCTCTCAGTCTTCAGCGTAGCGTCATCATTTAAAAAAAAATGTATGGGCCAGGGATTTAGCTCAGTGGTTCCACCACCTGCCTTGAAAGCAGAAGGACCCGAGTTCGATCCCTGGTACCAATAAATAAATAAATAAATAAATAAATAAATAAATAATTTACATAGCCTCCCCACCTTTGATGTACTGGGAATTGACCCAGGACCTTCACACTGAGCCACTGAACTATATCCCAGGATTTTTTTTATTTTTTTGAGACAGGGTCTCACTACGTAGTTCAGGCTGGCCCTGAACTCTTATGTAGCCCACATTGGCCTTGAACTTGCAGTGATCCTCCTGCCTCAGCCTCCTGAGTTTACAGGCATGCTCCACCATGCCTGGTGAGATAGATACCTACTCTTAATGAATTACCTCGAATGCAATGAATTAGCTAATCACAGAACTCAGAAAAATTAAATTTGCAATTAAAAATAAAGGTGTGGGTTAGGAGTGTAGCTTAGTGGTAGAGCTGGGGTTTGCACGCATTAGATTCTCAGCACCACACACACACACACACACACAAAACTGTATTATTTTCAGGTACTGGATACATATTTGCCAAATCGTCCTCCAGAGAGTTTGCACAAATCTACACCCCCTTTTCTCTGCTCAGCATTTGCAGTTCTTTGCCAGTTTGCGGTGTGAAACAAGGTTTTCCACTCTGTTATTTGTATCTCTTTCAATGACTGTTGCTATGAAGCATCCTTAATGGGTCTGGAAACTATGCATCTCTTCAGCAAAACTCCACCACCACCTTGTCCTCTGCCCAGTCTCCCCCCAGTGTCAGGATTGTGAAATTAACTCTCCACATTTATGTGGCTGCTCAAAGAGGACAGGAGAGCCCCCCGCCCCAGGTCAGAGACAAAGGGCAGTTTATTACCCCCAGCAACAGTAGTAGCAAGATGTCAGCATTTGTGTCCTTTTGCCGAGCCCATTTGCTGGTGAAAGGAAGAGGGTCAGGCAGTACCTTTATCTGCACTGAGGGCATTGTAGGAGAGGAACTCTTGAGTTTACGGGTTGTTTATTGTGTCGTCGTCGTTGTCATCATCATCATCATCATCATCATCCAATGGTACTGCAGACTGAACCCAGGACATTCACACCACCCCCAGTCCTTTTTTTAAAAATGTCAAGAGAGGGTCTCACTAAGTTGCTAAATTGCAATTTAGGCTCAAACTTGCAGTTTTCCTGCCTTAACCTCCCAGAGTGTTGAGATCACAGCCAGGTGCTACTGAGCATGGCTCACGTCTTTCCTCGTGGACCATCGCCTGTTTGCCCTGTGATGCACAGGGAGACTCTCTCATTTCCCAGGACGTGTCATATAACGAAATCCTTGAGAAGACAGTTGAGACACTCTGCAGCCTATGGCTCTGCAGAAAGAGGCTCATGGAGAATGGTCTCACACCACTGGAGTATCTTATGTATTTGTAACTCTTTGCATGCAATATATAATGATTTCATATATATATATCGTGTATGTGCGTGTGCGCACGTGCATGAGTGTATGTAGGGGGAGTATAGAGGTTCAAATTTTTAGATTCTCACTCATCAATATTTTCCCCTTGGTTAAGTTTCTTGGCTAACTTGGTTACATTTCCCCTTGGTCACTATGCTTAGAAAAGTCTGCCTCTTTTCAGCATTATTGAAACGCTTCTAGTACTCTTACAATTTTACATTTCACGTGAAACCTTTAATAGATGTGCAATGACTGTATTTTAGTGTAAGGAAGGAAGTCACGATTTGGTGGTCCCCCCTCAATGGTGAGGAAGAGTTCCCAACACAGCGAAGGAAGAACACAGCGGTTAACCACCATAGATGTTTTGCAAGCCCTGAATTTCACAGTAGGGTCTCTGGAACCCTCTGAGAATGCCAATTCCTTCGGGACGGCTGATTTAAGGCATCTGGATACCGGCAGGTCTCTGGGACATGTCCCAGTTTGCGCTTGTAAAGCCTCTGGGAATATTTGTCATCCTGGTGCGTCAGGTAGCAATTCCTGCTACCTGGGAGCTTGTTAACTGTAGAGATTTTGGTAATGACTGCAGTTGGGCGGCCTCAGAGGTGTCTAGTGTGCTCTGTGTCCCGTTTGGGATTCTCCTTACAGAGTCTCCAGGAAGGGAGGCTCCTAACTGTCAGCATCCTTTCCCTTCAGAGTCGAACTTCGCAGAGCCCACCTGCAACAGGGGATCCCGAACCCACTGCGGGCCTGGGCGGAGTCTACAGAGCCTTCCAGGCTGGGGCCCCCACCCAAAGGAGACAATCCCTTCTTGGTGCCTCTCTCCAAGTTCATGAATGTGAGTCACCTCCGGGCACAGCCTCTACCCTCCTGCACGCAAGCAAACTCTTTATCCTGTCTCCTCTTTCCTGTCAGGTGCAGTATTTTGGGGAAATCGGGCTGGGAACGCCCCCACAAAACTTCTCCGTCGTCTTTGATACTGGCTCCTCCAACCTCTGGGTCCCCTCCAAGAGATGTCACTTCTTCAGTGTACCCTGCTGTGAGCTGAATGGGGGGGAAGGGGGTGGCGCTCAGCTCCGCTGTGTCTTTTGAGAGACCATTCTCTTCGGACTCCCTCAGGGCTAAGAAGCTGAAAGGTGCAGAAGGCCCGGGGAGAGCCCCATCTCCCGGTGACACCTCTCTGCTCTTCTCAATTAGGGTTCCACCACCGTTACGATCCCAAAGCCTCCAGCTCCTTCCGGCCCAACGGGACCAAGTTTGCCATCCAATATGGAACTGGACGGCTGAGCGGAATCCTGAGTGAGGACAAGCTGAATGTGCGTGACCTTCAGCCCCCGGAATTCTCAATTTAGAACCCCAGAGTCTAGCACGGGTGGTTTAGGGAGGGGCTTGGAGAGGCGGGGCCTCCCGGCAAGGGGCGGGCCTTCTCAAGAAGGGAGACAGTTGGGACTTCTTTCCTAGACCTCGGGTCTATGATTTATGCCTTGATTGAGGGAGAGTCTCGGGGATATCTGGGATATTATGTCTTCCCATAATTAACCGGCCGCATCTCCATCTACTTCTAGATCGGGGGAATCAGCAATGCATCGGTGACTTTTGGGGAGGCTCTGTGGGAGCCCAGCCTGGTCTTTGCTTTTGCCTCCTTCGATGGGATATTTGGCCTTGGCTTTCCCACTCTGGCTGTGGACAGAGTTCCACCTCCGCTGGATGTCCTGGTGGAGCAGGGGCTGCTGGAGAAGCCCATCTTCTCCTTTTACCTCAACAGGTACTGGGGGCAGCGTCCTGGCCCCAGGCAGGACTTTGCCCTCTTCAGGAGCGTCCACTGCAGCAAGCGCCACCGTCCCTTCGGGAAGTTCCACTCTCCGTTCAGGAAAACACTTAGCCAATATAAGAGCACCGGAACTCTCAGAAGCCTCACACTTTAAGTGACATTTTGAGATACACTAAAGAAACTCAGTTCAAAATGCTGCTTGTTTCAAAACCAAACAGGAAATTCCACACCCCACCCAATTAAACACTCAACTTGGGAACCCTCTCTCTACCCTCAAGAAAGCTCAAATTCCATACAAGAACGCTCACCAGAAGTCAGAAATTGCCCATTGTAGTCCAGAGAGTCCTGGCTGCCTTTTAGGAAGTTCACTCTGATGCTCAGAAAATCTCACGTCCAAGAAGGACCCCCCGCCATCACCCAGAGAAATTCCTGAAATTCTCACGCAGTCACCCTGACATCCAACCCACTCTGCGGTCCCGCCCTCCTCTTAGTAGACCGGGCCTTCTGTGCCTCCCAGGAAGTCCTCCCCTCCCCCTCACTCCCAGCCAGCTCTGGAAGCCTAACATCTCTCTAGAGACCTCCATACACGATTCTGAAAATCTCACCACCTACAGGAAGTCACTCGGCCCTCTACTCTGGCCACACACACTGATGTAGAAACCCCAAAGCCGAATTACGATGACATTTGGCTCAGGAGCTTTCCCCTCAAAGGTTCTACCTTCCACACCCAAATGGAGAAGTCACATCCCCACTTCAGCATGTCCCCAAACACAATAAGTCCTTCCCTGATGGTGTTAAAGAAAATCACCACTTCCCCTGGGCATGGTGGCACAGGCCTGTAATCCCAGCTCCTTAGTTCATGCCCAGCTTGGGTAACTTCCTGAGACCCTGTTTCAAAATAAAATAATAATAAAAAGGCCGTTGGGGGAGGGGAGAGAGAGAGAGAGAGAGAGGAAGCAGCATTTCCCTTCTTGCCTTGCTAGAACATCCCACCACCCCATCTAGAACTGAGAAACCACCCCCCAGTCCCAGTTGGCATGAAGTCCCACCCCTGGTCACTCGTGAGGTGGCAGGGGAAAAGCCGGCGACACCTACAGCACTCTGCCTCTGCAGGGACTTTGCAGGAGCTGATGGAGGCGAGCTGGTTCTGGGAGGCGCAGACCCAGCCCACTACATCCCACCCCTCACCTTCGTGCCGGTCACCGTCCCTGCCTACTGGCAGATCCACATGGAGCGGTGAGTGGCTCCGCCTTCCAGGTTGGGCCGGGTCCGGACTCTGGAGCCCTAGGGCCCTGCCTCTCATGGCCACCCCTTCCCCCCCGGCAGAGTGAAGGTGGGCACGGGGCTGACTCTCTGTGCCCAGGGCTGTGCTGCCATCGTGGACACAGGCACGTCCCTCATCACGGGACCCTCTGAGGAGATCCGGGCCCTGCACAGGGCCATCGGGGGCCTTCCCTGGCTGGCTGGCGAGGTAAAGGCCCATTCTCTGGAGAGTGTGGGTGTGGGCGGGGGAGGCAGTGGGAAGGCTCCTGGGTCTCCAGGGTGGGAAGCAGGTAGCCAGGAGGTAGCCCAGGGCAGACGGGACTGGACCTCTGAGCGATGGGCTGGGCATGGTGGAAGCAAGGACGCTTCCCGTAGCTGCCCAGGTCAGGTGACTGGAGCGGCGGGGAAGGAATTAAGCAGGCAGGGTTTTTTAGGCCTGGGTGAGGAAGCTTAGTTGACAAGCTTGTCCACATAAGGCCCGGATACCTAGCTACCCAAGACAGATATTGCCTTATGGCACTGAGGAGCCAAGGGAGGGATTTGAGCGGTGCAAGAACTGCCCATCTTTACTTGTTCCTCTTCTCTCCAGCACTTCATACTGTGCTCAAAAATCCCAACGCTACCCCCAGTCTCCTTTCTCCTTGGGGGGGTCTGGTTTAACCTCACGGCCCAGGACTACGTCATCCAGGTAAATGACATCACGATAACGTCAGGGGACACGGTGTGCACTGGGCCGGGAGTGTGACTACCAGGGCGGGGTTCGCGGGGAAGAGGCGGCCCCAGAGCGCGTAACAGACACCCTGTGGTGCTGTCTTGGCGCTTTGCAGATTTCTCAGGGTGGCTTCCGCTTCTGCTTGTCCGGCTTCCACGCCTTGGATATGCCTCCGCCTGCAGGACCCCTCTGGATCCTCGGCGACGTCTTCTTAGGGGCCTACGTAGCGGTCTTCGACCGCGGGAGCACGAGCAGTGGCGCCCGAGTGGGCCTGGCGAGAGCTCGCGTTCCGGAAGCAGAGCCGGGAGGGGGCGGTACCGCGCAGGCGCAGTTCTCCGATTGATGCCGGGGCGAGATGCAAGCGCACCACGGGATAGCGGAGGTCCAGCATCCAGGGAAACGTCTGAGATTTTCATTGAATTAATGTACCTGGTTCTCTTAAGTGCATGCTTTTTGGAAAGAAAAAAATTGGTGTTCAGTCCTCCAGAGGTTCCTGTTCTGCAAGGTTCACAATGATGGGAGGGGACTACGAATCCCATAAAACCCCGGGCTTTCTCTGTCTCGAGGCAAAGGCGCCCGGCCAGCGGAGCACGCCGGATGTTGTAGTCTGCGCCATTTCCACGCTCTGGTTGGGGCGGGAGTAGCCACAACAGGCGTAGGAGGCGACAGGTCGCGACGACAGCGACAGGTGGCAGTGGGGAGGAGTGGTGGTTGAAATCAGTGAAAGATTTCCCAACCCTTGTTCTAAGGAAAAGGGATGCCGTTTCCACTGGTCTCGTCTCCGGTTCCTCTTCTCTCCCCTTTGGATTCCGGGACCCTGGGTCTGCCATAAAGGCGGAGCTTGAAGGCCCCGGGTTAGGGGGAGTCGGGGCAGCCCCTCCTCCGGCGGTGATGTCACTGCCCCTCCGCAGCCTCTCGCTGCCCAGAGCTGCCGGGCTGGGCCACCCCTCCCCCCATCGCCAGTCCGCGGATCGCCCCATCCCCGCCTCGCCTCGACTAGGGGTGAGTACGGGGGCGGGGGCGGAGGTTCAGGTCCGCGGGGGGCGTAAGACAACTCGAATCCCAGTTATGGAGGCGGGGACTGGGAGATGGGACCCAAAAATGACAGCGGAGAGATCTCCGCTCGGTTGTACGCTTTGGGGCACCCAGGTATTTGGAGGTCTTAGCAATCAAAGATCTTAGGCGGCGAGTCCTCACATTTTCAGCTTTAGTGAGACTCCCTTTGCTGGATTTGGAACCGATGAGAATAGAGGTCTTGGAAATCAGGGAGGGGAAGACCCATCCCCAATCGCCGGGCCCTGAGGAAGGAGGGAGGGAGGATTGGAAAGGAGTTCCAGAGATGGCAGAGCTGGGAGTTCGGAGCTTTCAGGAATTCTGTGCTTTGAGTGTCCGGGAAAAGATAGATTGGGGGAGCAGGGCTGGGGAAAGATTAGAAGAAGTGGACAGGCATTAGCTTTTCCTCTCCTGGTGTCTGTTGCCAAGCATGGAGTCCGTGTCCTCCTCTGTGAGCATAGCTGGGTGTCCTGTAACTCAGGGTCCATCTTGTCTCCCAAAATCCCCTCCAAGGGACAGGCGGAGACTCGAGACTCACAGATCCCCCACGTAGCCTGGTGAGGTCCGGCAAGGCCATAAGAGGTGACAGCGTCCAAATTTCCCAGGGCCCAGGGAACCTGGGCCATCCTATTACTGCTCCCTGCGGCGGGCTCCCCCTCCCTCTGTAGTCTTGAATCCCAAATCTCATCCCATAGTCTTCCCCTTTCCAGCTCCTTTCTCCCCACCAAACCCTCACTTTATGCATACCGTCTGACCTCTGCTAGAACGCTGATTTGGTCACTTGATCTCCTGTGTGGCTGCAGTCCGATAGTGGAAAGCTGGGGTGGGGTGGTCTATAGGGGAGGGTGGCTGACTCATGTCCCTGCCCCAGCCCCTACCCCAGCTCCAGCCTCCACCCCGTCCCCAAATGGCCTGCGAGCCTCTTTCAACCCTTATCCCATTTCTCACCTCAGGGTTGCCCGCTTCTGCCTGGGGCACACCAGAATTTGGGGCATGGACAGGTGGTGCCCAGGTCTTTCCTTGGCCCTGGTGGGTCCCATCAGAGGCTTGAGGGCTGCCCGAGGATCATTCCCTGGATTGGGGTCCTGGGAGAGCCCGAGGTCTGGGGAATGAGGGCACCACCTCCTTGGCCTGCAGGATGGGCCCCACTTCTGCAACTCTCCGTAGTGACGCAGCCTGGAGTCCCGGCCAGGCTGGGGGTCAGACCGGGGTGTGTGGGGCGGGGTGCCCTGAGAGAAGGGGACAGAGGCCCAGAGACAGGGGACGTCCAGAAAGAGACATTTAGAAAGGGAGAGAGGTGGGGAAGAGAGACTCAGGGAGGGGACAGAGAAAAAAAAAATGATGAGACCCATAGAGAGGGAGTTAGATAGCTGGAAAGAGGGCAGCGATTCGTACACAGGGGGACAGGGAAGGGGAGGAGCCGGGGCTGGCAGAGAACCCGGGGAGCCAGCGACCCAGGTGAATGAGCGGAGCCTGGGAAGGAGTAAAGCACAGAGACGCAAAGAAGGGACAGACACCAGGAGGGAGAGCGACCCAGGGCAGGGAGACCTCCCAGAGATGAAAGGCAGAGGTGGAGGGCCAAGCCGCGAAGAGGGAGACAGCGCTCAGGAGGGGACCGCGATCTATGGAGGGGACCCAGGCCCAGATGAAAGAGCAGAGGCCAGCGGGGCAGAGACCTGAGAGACAGGCGCCCGGCGGAATGGGGGTCCAGAGACTCCCGCAAAAAGACTAGGGGGAAGGTATGAAGTCACAGCCGCGGAAAGGAGACTGAGCCCAAGGGAGAAAAGGCATAGAGACTCCGAAAAGGAAGGGAGGTTCAGAGACCCTCGGGGAGAGCAGAGCCCTAGAAAAGAGGGGCACAGACTCAGGTAGGAACAGAGGCGGCGGGACAAACACTCAGAGATCGGGAAGAAAAAGGGACACCGAGAGACACAGGCACGGGAGCGGGCGAGGGTTGGGAGGAGATACGAACCAGCTGCACACCTGCAGCGGGAGGCGGTGGGCCCGGGACCGAGCCGCGCGTCCCGCAGCGCCCTGACCCTCCCCCTTCACTCCCACAGGCGCCGCCTCCCGCCGCAGCCTCCGCTGCAGCCGCTGACCCAGCCCCAGCCCCTGCTTCTGCGCATTGCTTCCCAGCGCCTCGGACCGCCCTGGGGGCGGGGCCGGCCCGTTCGGAGGTGGGCCGCCTGGTCCTGGCCCCGCCCCTAACTCGCCGACTCGAGCCCCCTCTGGGCCTCTCTGACACCCTACCTCCCCCACTTTCCTTTGGTCCACCTGTTGGTCCTTGCCCCGGTCCCTAAGGCCCCGTGGACCCTTAGGGCCCTGTCCCAAGATCTCTCCGTTCCAGGTCCTTGCTGTCCGTCCAGCGCTCACTTTTTCCTCTAGCTCCCCCTTCACCCTCTCCTACAGACCATTCCAGATGTTTTCTGCCCTCTGCAGTCCTCGCCCATCCAGCTCCGTCTCTTCCCATCCTTTGGGACTGTCCTTCTCCCGGCTAAGCCCGGTGTAGCCAGGCCTAGCTTGCAGCCTCAGTCCCTCCCTTAGCCCTGTCCTTAGCCTCAGTCCTGCCCCTTCTCACCGGATCTCAGTCTCTTCCCCTTAGTCGTGGCCCTTTTCAGTCCGGCCTGGCCCCATTCTGTCCATAGTTCCCGCCCCTGGCTCAGTCCCGCCTTCCTTGTCCCAGTCCAATCAGTGCCCCTTCTACTGTCCTCGGCTCTGATCCGTCCAATGTTAGCTCGACTCCGTCCTCTCCCCCTGCCCCTGCACACGGTCCTGTCTGCCAGGGCTTTAGGTCCAGGTGTGCAAACTTACTCCCCTAGGGCCCCTTCTTAGTGCAATCCGATCAGCTTCTCTCATCGTGGCCCTTACCTTCCCGGCCAGCCCGGCTCCCCTTTTTTTCTGCTTCTCTCAGGTCTCTTTCACTTACCTCGCTCCGCTTTCTCCTTTCTCCCTCCCCTGTTTCGCCCAGATAGCGTTAGCGACCCTTTGACGCCCCGCCCTTCACCCGAAACATCCAATTGGGGAGCCTCACTCGTGCCCCCCCTTTCAGGCTGTATTAGAGACCCAGCCCCCCCTTCCAGACCTCAGCCACACCCACTCACCCCTCAGGCCAATCATCTCTGATCCTCTCCCACGGAGGCCCCACCCCCCATTCTATCGCCTTTTCCCACCCAATCGCGTCAGTCTCTGCACCCTCCAGGCCCGGCCCTCCTAGTCATCGCCTCCTCCCACCCAATCACGTCCATCTCTCCTCCCGAGCCCCGCCCCTCTCTGCCCTGCCCCCTCCGGCCCGCCCCCTGTCCAATGCTGAGCTCAGTCTGCGTCTCGTCCTTCCCCCGGCGCCAGGGGGCCAGCAAGCAGCAGCCGGCGCCACCACCGCAGCAGCCCGAGTCCCCGCCGCCGCTGTCCCCGCCACCGCCGCCGCCGCTGCAGCCTGCGCAGCCCGGCCCAGCCGCATCCCCGGCGGGCCCCCAGGCACCCCGAGGGCCCGGGGACCGCCGCGCCGAGCCATGCCCCGGGCTGCCAGCGGCGGCCATGGGGCGGCACGGCGGCGGCGGTGGCGACAGCGGCAAGATCGTGATCAACGTGGGCGGCGTGCGCCATGAGACGTACCGCTCGACGCTGCGCACCCTGCCGGGTACGCGGCTGGCCGGCCTGACGGAGCCCGAGGCGGCCGCGCGCTTCGACTACGACCCCGGCGCAGACGAGTTCTTCTTCGACCGGCACCCGGGCGTCTTCGCCTACGTGCTCAACTACTACCGCACGGGCAAGCTGCACTGCCCGGCCGACGTGTGCGGGCCGCTCTTCGAGGAGGAGCTGGGCTTCTGGGGCATCGACGAGACCGACGTGGAGGCCTGCTGCTGGATGACCTACCGGCAGCACCGCGACGCGGAGGAGGCGCTCGACTCCTTCGAGGCCCCGGACCCTGCGGGCGCCGCCAATGCCGCTGCCGCGGGAGCGCACGACACGGGCCTGGACGACGAGGCGGGCGCGGGCGGCGGCGGCCTGGATGGCGCGGGCGGCGAGCTCAAGCGCCTCTGCTTCCAGGACTCGGGCGGCGGCGCCGGGGGCCCGCCAGGGGGCGCGGGCGGCGCGGGCGGCACGTGGTGGCGCCGCTGGCAGCCCCGTGTGTGGGCGCTCTTCGAGGACCCCTACTCGTCGCGGGCTGCCAGGGTGAGCCGCTCTCGGGGCCCCCAGCACCCCTCTCCAGGCACCCCCATATCTGTGGGGCCGCCCATCCCAACCCTAACTGGATGGTCTGGGCCACCTGGATGGTCGGACCCTCCTGCCCCCCCCCCCCCGCCAACCTTCAGGTCCCCAAAAGTCATCTCTCCAACCGTCAGATCCTCTCAGGCCTGCCCAGCACCCCCCAGCCCTTAGAAAGTCGCTCCCGACCACGAACCTCAGGGGGCCCTGAACAAACCGGTCCTCTCGGGGATCCTCAGAAGACCTTCACAAGCCTCTGTTTCCCAGCCCCTCCAGACGTCTCCTCGCCGCTCTTGGCCACCCCCAGACCCTCACAGGACCTCTCCTGGGCCTCGGTTTCTCGGAGCACTCCAGCCCCTCCGGAGATAGACCTTTGTGGGCCTCAGAGTGGGCTGGTCTTTTGAGCCTGCCCCCCACTTCCCCGCCCTCCCCTCTTCAACTCTCAGGTTCTCCCAACACCTCCCCAGCTCTCCTGGGCCCATCTCCCAGGACACGGCTCTCCAGATTCAGGTCTCCTGGTACCTCTGCCCTCACCCCCATCAAAGTCTCAGAAAGCCCCTGCCCCAGGCGCAGGGCCTTGGGACCCCTCTGGTCCTCCTGACCCCTTGCTCCAGCCAGGACAACTCCCTCTCCGCACGGCAACGCTGAGTCTTGGGGCGGCTCCCCTCCTGGCACTTCCCTGCCACCCTCTGTTCCTGTCCCTTCATCCTTACCCCATGCCACCTCTCACCCCAGTAAACTTTCCCCGTAAAGCTCTGGGCATCCCCCAAGTCTTTCCTATTCCTCCTCCTGTCTCCAGAACACTCTGGAGGCCCCATGCTCTCTAGCGCTTCCTTTTTAGAACCCCATGTGTCCCCCAGAATTGCTCTTCCTCGCCCCAGCCTCTCCCTCTGGCCTTTCAGCTGCACACCACACTCCGTCTCTGGGATCTCCCCTTCCCTCTGTCAAGTGACTGCCTCTTGCTCTAGAACTTCATCTCTCACCTCAAACCTCGGGAACCTCGCTCTAGTCATCAGCCCAGAAACTTCTCAAAATAGCTCCCATTCTTTCTCTCCTGCCTCAGAATCTTTCCACCTGCCCGGTCTTCCTTCTTCCCGCCCTGCTTTCTCTGTTTCTCATGCTCCCCTTCCCAAAGCCCAGGACTGGGCTCCGCAACCTCTTTCCCTCTGCCATAGTGCTCCTGGCCTTCTCATTCCTTCAGCCCTACCTCAGCCTCACAGTCTAGGGTTCCTTCCCAAGAGCTCTCCATCTCTCCCAGAAAACTTCCTCCTCAACTTCCTCCCAACCCAGGAGATCCCAGAGGGTGAAAGTGTGGGAAGAGAGGAGGGAGCAGTTCAAAGTAGGGGGGATTGGAAAGAGGGGAGAGCAAAGTGATCCCGGGGGCCCTTCCGTCCCCTGGAGGCACAAACCCCAGAGGAGCCGGTCCAGGCGCCCTCCCCCCACGGTGCCGTGTCCTGGGCAGGGAAGGACGCAGAGCCGCAGTGCCGCATTCGAGACGGGGGAGGGAGTTAGGGGGAGGGGGGTCTGGAGGCACCGCAGAAAGTTTGGTCCCTGGGAAGCGCTGAGTTGGCGAGATTTGGGGTTGAGTGGGGGGGAAGTGGGAAGGAAGAGGTGGCGAAGGATTTGGCCCTAGATGCCCCGAGGCCTGCTAGCGGCTCCTCCCCTCACGGCCCGGGGCGCCCTTCCCTCCAGTGACCCCATTGAAGGGTGCTGAGGTGAGGGGTAGGGAGGAAGTGGAGTCCTGCGGTGGTCTGGCTAGGGGGCCGGGACAGCTGCGGAGGTCATTCATTGACTGCACAGACGTTTGATTGAGTGTCTACGGTAAGCCCAGCACTTTACAGTCTCTAAGTAAGATTGCTTGAGAGTTGGGAGCTCCGGCCAATGCCCAGTGCAGGGTCTGGCTCCACTTTCTCCCTTCCTTGTAATCTCTCCTTTCCTCCTTACAGGGACTCCATGCCCTCCTATCCCTTCTGCTTCTGAGCCCCCCTGGGGAAAGGGGTTAAACCGGCCCACACTGTCCCACCCTGCTGCTGTGCACTACAGCGGCTGCCCACCTCTCCCCTGTGCCTTGGGAGGAAAGGAGTTAATGGAGCCCGGCCCGCGGCCTCGGTCGGGAAGCATAGCTCTGCGGCTGCGCGCTGCCTGCTGGGCTCCAGCCCGGAAGGGGTTAAGCCGGTGCGCGGCCACTGCGGCTGCGCACTGCGGCGGGAGCTGTCCGCGGTGCTGGCCTCCGCGCGCCCCGCCCCCCGGCCCGGCCGGCCCGCCCCCACTGCGGTGCCGCAGCCTGCGCCGGGGGCCGGCGCGGAGGGGGGGGGCGGGGAACACCGGGCATGCGCTCTGAGGAGGCCTCCTGCCTCTTAACCCACTGCGGAGAAACCAAGAGGGTGGGCGAGGGCCCTCGCTGACCCCCGGGGCCCATCCCAGGGTCTAGGTTATCGCCGCCGCCGGTCTGGTCTCCACTTGAGATTGAAAGTCGAACCCCTCCACTCTAGCCCTGGGCCTCCACTACCCATCTGATTAAAGCCCCCTTCACCCCAGCACCGGTTCCCTGGCCTCTCCGAGGAAGCCTCCCCGGTATCTGATAAAGCCATCCCCGGCCCCTGGCCCCCCTCCTCCTCCTGGACCTGGACCTCGCCCCTCTTCTGCAGAGCTTTGTCAAAGCCCATGCGGCTGTAGCGAGAGCCTAGTTCCCCCACCTTGCAGTGGCCCAGGTTTCCCAGCCCCTAATTTTTAGGCCGCGTGCCTGCCCTCTCCCCCAGTGTTGAGACCCTACTCTCTCTAAAGCCTCAAGCTCCTCCCCTTCTCCCTTTTCTCTCCTCTTCCCTTTTTGGAGCCTTAACCCTCCAATCCCATCTTTCTTCAGGTCCTGGCCCCCAAGGTCCCCGCTTTGACCCCGCCTCTGCCCTGCGTTTCCTGGCCGAAGTCCCCATCCAGCCTCTTCCTTTTCTGGGCCCTGGACATTGGCATTGAGACCCTCAGCGTCCCTGACCCCACTAAGCGATGCCGGGTACCCCAGGAGCCACTCAGACCATACCGGGTTCCAGGCACCAGGCCAGGCCCTCTATACACTCACCTCTCATCTAATCCTTAAGGTTCAGAAAGCCTAACCTCCTTGCCCAAGTCTGACATGTCAAAAGCTGGACTTAAACTCGGGCTTTCTTGCTCCTGACCACCTTGTGGTCCTTCCCAGCGTTCCCCTTCCCTCAACTCCAAGCTGAGCCCCAAAGCTTCTGAGGCGCAGGGGTGTGTGACCTTGGTCCCCTTGCTTCTCCCATAGCTTGGCCCTTGAAGCTGGCCAGAAAGCCCAGGGGACAGAAGGGTGGAGCAAGGTGGCCTGGAAGGCAGAGAGCTGGCTCCAGAGGAGACAGGGCCCTTCTGCGCCATGTTTGGGGCCCAGGTCCTGTCTGGCTGCCTTTGTTCCTTTTGTTACTGTAGAGGGCAGCACAGGAAGCCAGACGTGATGGAGCCAAGAGGCTGGGACACCTGGATTCCCTCCGGGTTGGGCCTGGGAGGCTGAGAAGAGGGCGCTGGAAGGGTCCTGCTTAGATTCCAGTGGACTCCATGCCTCGGTCACCTTTCTGTCTCTCCCGTCCTGCCTGCAGTATGTGGCCTTCGCCTCGCTCTTCTTCATCCTCATCTCCATCACCACCTTCTGCCTGGAGACCCACGAGGGCTTCATCCACATCAGCAACAAGACTGTGACGCAGGCCTCCCCGATCCCCGGGGCCCCGCCGGAGAATATCACCAACGTGGAGGTGGAGACAGAGCCCTTCCTGACCTACGTGGAGGGCGTGTGCGTGGTCTGGTTCACCTTTGAGTTCCTCATGCGCATCACCTTCTGCCCGGACAAGGTGGAGTTTCTCAAGAGCAGCCTCAACATCATCGACTGTGTGGCCATTCTGCCCTTCTACCTGGAGGTCGGCCTCTCGGGCCTCAGCTCCAAGGCCGCCAAGGACGTGTTGGGCTTCCTGCGCGTCGTGCGCTTTGTCCGAATCTTGCGTATCTTCAAGCTGACCCGCCACTTCGTGGGGCTGCGGGTGCTGGGCCACACGCTTCGTGCCAGCACCAATGAGTTCCTGCTGCTCATCATCTTCCTGGCCCTGGGGGTGCTCATCTTTGCCACCATGATCTACTATGCTGAGCGCATTGGCGCCGACCCGGACGACATCCTGGGGTCCAACCACACCTACTTCAAGAACATCCCCATCGGCTTCTGGTGGGCTGTGGTCACCATGACGACCCTGGGCTATGGAGACATGTACCCCAAGACGTGGTCTGGGATGCTGGTTGGGGCGCTGTGTGCCCTGGCAGGGGTGCTGACTATCGCCATGCCTGTTCCTGTCATTGTCAACAATTTTGGCATGTACTATTCGCTGGCCATGGCCAAACAGAAGCTGCCTAAGAAGAAGAACAAACACATCCCCCGGCCCCCCCAGCCTGGCTCGCCCAACTACTGCAAGCCTGACCCACCCCCGCCACCTCCAACACACCCTCACCACGGCAGCGGGGGCATCAGCCCCCCCCCACCCATCAGCCCACCCTCCGTGGGGGTGACTGTGGCTGGGGCCTACCCGCCGGGGCCCCACACGCACCCCGGGCTGCTCAGGGGGGGTGCAGGGGGACTGGGGATCATGGGGCTGCCTCCCCTGCCGGCCCCTGGTGAGCCCTGCCCACTGGCTCAGGAGGAAGTGGTTGAAATCAACAGGGCAGGTGAGGCTGGCTTGGGGGTGTGGAGCAGATGGAGACCGGTGGGAGGCTCAGAGACAAGGCGGCCGGACACAGTGGGGAGAGGGAAGGCGACGGTGAGGCAGGCCAGAGAGGAGCCCCACGGACCCACAGAAGCGCGGATTTCTTGTCTCTCTTTGGAGAGAGGCAGACTGGAAGCCACGCTGTTCCGAGGGGCCATGGAGGCAGAGCAATGGGCCATTTGGCGAGAGGGACTCAGAGTCTCTCGTGGGGCCTGGGCAGGCTGGAGAAGGAGGCTGGGGGAAAGGGACAGTCCTGGGTTGACAGTGGGACACGGTGGGTCTGCAGGAGGAAGTGCAGAGACAAAGGGGCAGGCGGGTGAGGGCAGGTGGGGCCGTCGAGAGAAGCCAGGATGGCCTCACAGTGAGGTCACAGCGGGCTTCAGAGGTCACAGGGCAGAGAGGCTGGGGTGCCAGGGTGCTGGGCGGGCTCTAGAGAGAGCTCCACACAGATGTCACTGAGGGGAGGAGGGGCGGGGGGCGCGGGAGGAGAAGGTCGACTGTCCCTGCGTCTGTGCGTGCGTGCATGCATGTGTGCGTGCTGGTGCGAGCGTGCTTGCGTACATCCAGGTCCAGGGAGTCCCTCGGAGACAGTAATCTGAGTGTCGGGGAGGAGGGAGAGGTGGGCCCCACCCCCAGGCCTTAAGTAGGTCAAGAAAGGGAGCTGGGCCACCCAGCCCCCATCTTGTTCCCTCAGCCACTGACCCGGTTTCACACCCATTAAAAATAGCTCGAGTCAGCCCCTAGGGGACCCCCACCTTCCCCTCCCTCATCTATCCCCTCCAGCCCGTCCCCACGCTGCCCTTTCAGCACCCCACTACCACTTCCTCCCTGCCTCATCCAGCCGTCCCCTCCAGGCCCCCAGCATCCCACCCGGGTCAGGTCTGCTCAGCTGGCTCCCACCAACCCCAGCACGCAGCCACGTCTTCCTGCATTCTTCCCCCGCACCCGCACGCCCGGCCCCAGCCCCGCAGGCGCCCTGTCCCCCACCCCAGGTTCCCCCAGGGACCCTGGCCTGGAATCTTGTCTCTGCCCTCATTCCGACCCTCACTCTCTCCTCTGTGTCTGTCTGACCCCGGGGGAAGCAGATCCCCGCCCCAATGGCGATCCTGCTGCAGCTGCGCTGGCCCACGAGGATTGTCCCGCCATCGACCAGCCCGCCGCGTCCCCCGAGGACAAGAGCCCCATCACCCCCGGAAGCCGGGGCCGCTACAGCCGGGACCGTGCCTGCTTTCTCCTCACCGACTATGCCCCTTCCCCTGACGGCTCCATCCGAAAAGGTGAGGTGGGCTCCATGGGCCCCCTGCCGGGACCCTCTCGCCCTCCCCTGCCGGGGGGTGGGGTGGAGAGGGTGAGGGGTGGGGTGCCCAGCTTCCCTCTCCCCATCCTTGCCCCACACTGCCTCCCTCCCAAACCTGCCGCCCCAGGCCCCTCTCCACTGACCCTTCACTGTCTTTATTCCATCTCCATCCCCTGCCCCTTGGCCTCCTCCTCACCCAGCCACTGGTGCTCCCCCCCTGCTCCCCCACGACTGGCGTAAGCCAGGCCCCCCAAGCTTCTTGCCCGACCTCAACGCCAACGCCGCAGCCTGGATATCCCCCTAGTGGACGAACCCCTCCCCCGGGGTAAGTAGCCCCCCTGCTCCCCCCCCCACTTCCCTTTCCCCTCGACTAACCCTTCCCACAACATGCAGCCCCACTGACCGAGACTCTGCTCCCTCACTGTGAACAGCTGCACCCTCCTGACACTGACCCCCAGCGCCCCCCCCGACTCACCATGTCCCCACTAACCCCCCAGAACTAACCCCACCATCCCTCCACACCCTGTCCTCATGACTGATCCCCATCACGATCTCTCCCTGCTCCTCCCCTGGGTTTGCGTTCCATTAGGAAAGTGGGGTGTGCACCCAGACGCTTCTGGGTGCGGGATGCTGGGCGCCAGGGGCTGTGAGTTAGGCAGGAGCTGCAGGGAGGCAGTCAAGTCTGGAGTCATCAGTGGAGGTCACCTGTGCTTGGGCGGAGGAAGAGGAATACACAAGACTCCTGGGGGAGGGTCAGGGACAACTTCCGGTGCCCAGGTTGGAGAAGAGAAGCCACCTCCCCGTGATTAGAGGGAGGCAGCAGTCAGATGAGGTCAGGCTGAGGTGAGGGTCTTGGGGAAACAAGAGACTTAAGCTGTGGGGATGGACAGGAAGGGGTCAGAGGTCAAGACGTGGGGGCAGGGATGAAGAGGTCCTTAGCAATGCAAAGCCCAGTACCTCCCATGTGCTGGAAGTTAATATACTCTATGATCTTGCCCCCCCCCCTTTATGGTGCTGAGGATTGAACCCAGGGCCTTGCAACTATAAGTACTCTACCCCCGAGCTACAACCCCGTCCTTTAAATTTTTTTGATTTTTATTTTTTGAGACAGCTTCTCACTATGTAGTTCAAGCTGGCCTTGAACTCACTATGTAGCATAGGTGGGCTTTGAACTCGTGGCAGTCTTCCTACTTCAGCCTCCCAAATTCTGGAATTACAGACATGTGCCACCATATCCAGCTTTAAAAAAATTTTTTGGGGGGCTGAGGATTTACCTCAGTGGTTCTGGTGCCTGCCTTGCAAGTGAAAGGTCCTGAGTTTGATCCCCAGTACCAAAAAAAAATTTTTTTTTGAGACAAGGTCTCACTAAGTTGCCCAGGCTGACCTCAGACTTAATCCTCCTGCCTTAGCCTTCCATGTAGCTAGGATTACAGTTGTGTGTCACCATGGCCTGAAGCAATGAGGCCACAGCCCCAGGCCCTGGAGATCTGGTGGTGAGCAAAGGGAGAACCTTCCATCACAGCTTCACAATCTAGAGCACAGATTGGTAATAGGGCTCTAAGCTTCCAGCCAGCTGTTTTTGTAAATAAAACTTTATTGGGACACAATCATGTTAAGCTACAACACAGCAGAGTAATTGTGACTGAGGCCATATGGTTCCTATAGCCAAAAGTGTTTACTATTTAGTGCTGTACAGGAAAAGTCAGCCAAGCTCTAATTGGAGGAAGAAGGGGAAACAAACAAAAAGGAGCAACAAGGCAAGTCCTGAGGTGCTGAAGTGGTCTCTTAAAGAAACAGCCACTGTGGCTGGGGCTGAGCAAGCCAGGGAAGAGGGGTACCGAGGGAGTGGGGAACAAGACCATGGCCATGAAGATGCTGGGATTGATCACAAATGTGATGGGAAGCTTATCTGAGCAAATGTCCACAGACTTCTCCCTTAGAAACAAACACACCCTGAAGAAGCCTAAGGAGAAGCTGTAGGGGAACCTGGGGGCCCCCCAGGATGCCTGGCCAAGCCCCCATGTCCCACACAGTCCAGGGAGGAGAAGGCTTCGGCTCCCGTCCAGAGTCTGTGCCCCCCTTTCCATGACCCTCACAGTCCTCCATTGTCATCTCCTCCCCCCCAGCTCTTCCCCTGCTTGTTCCCACTCCCTGTGGCCCTGATGTCCCACCCCTAGGTCTGAGGGGCCCTGGTGGAATGGGGGGGTAGAATGGAGGTGGGGTGGGGGATCTGGTGAGGGCTGGGGGGTGGTCCCTGCTTCTCTTGCCTACGATGCCAACATCCATTCACTGAACTCAAATAATGACTGGAGCTGATGGGGTGACTGGACCCTCACCTGTGTGTCCCGAAGCCTGAGCCACCCCCACTCCTCCCTCCCCAGGTGACCCTTGACCCTCCTTCCCCCAAGACACCCTGCGACCCACACCCTGTCATTCCTCCTCTCCCTTCCCCACCCCTGTCCCCTCCTCCTCCTCCCATGCCCCCCAGCCACCCCGGAAGCTCCTTCCATATTTGATGTCTCTGGCCACGCCCATTTCACTGCTCCCCCTCCCCCAGAAAACAGCGAGGAGGAGGAAGAGGTTCTGGCGTTCTCCATCCCCCCCCAACAGTGAGGCTGTGTTGGGGGGGTTCCCCCTCCATGCTCCTCCCCACTGTGACTCTCTGTATTTCTGTCCCCAGCTCTGGTCACCGCCTGAGACCTCGCGAGACCCTCGGGTCCCCCCTGCCCCTTCCCCCCAGGTTAGCATTTGGGAACGGGGGGGCGGGGCAGGGGGTAAACCCAAGATATCGGGCTTCAGTCCCCAGGCCCTTTCTCCTCCATTCAGGACCCCCACTCCAGACAGCCCCCCTCTGCCCAGAAAAGCCACCACATGAGGTGCGATGGTAGAAACCACACGCAGGACCTCCGGGTCCGGGCTCCCCGAGGTGTACCCCTAAGGCCTTCCCGTCACCTTCACCGCAGACGCCCATTTCAGCTCTGGGGTACCCCAGATCGGTCCTGCCTCCCTGACTTCCTGGACACTCCTGGACCCTGGCTGCCTCGGCCCGAGCCTCGCCCCTCCCCTCCCGCCCTTGGAGTCCGCCTGGACTCCCCAAGGCCCCCCCACCCCGCTCTGGCTCCGTCCAGGCCTCCCGGCCTATCCTCGAGGCTGGTGGCCCCCAGCCCCGCGCTGCCGCCTCAGCTGGTCCCCCCAGCCCTCCCCACCGGCTGCTCCCCCACTCCATTCCACCCAGCCCCTCCTCACGACCCTGCCGCCCACCATCCTGCCTTGCTGCCCCCCACCTTTGGCCTCAGACTAGGGGACCACAGGGGTGGGGGTCGGTGGGGGAGGGGCGGGAGGCTCGGGGGGCGCCGCCGCCTCCTAATCCGGAGTCTCCCCCGCCCCGCCCGTGTCTGCACCTTCCTCGTGGACGCTGACTGACTGCGATTTGTTCACTTCTCTCTCCACCTCCTCGGCCCGCACCACCCACCTCTGCACCTCGCCCCCTCTTTTTGTGCCCCCTCCCTCTCTGTCTCTAACTGTTCCCCACTGCCTTTGTCTCTCTGGATGTCTCTCGCCCTCTCCCTTGTCTCTCTCTCTCCCTGTCTTGGGGGTCTCTCCGTGGGACCTGCCCCGCGCCCCATCTCCATGCTTCCTCCTCGTGTTTCTGCCCCTTCCCCAGGTTACGAGAAATCCCGCAGCCTGAGCAGCATCGCGGGCCTGAGCGGGGTGTCCCTGCGCCTCGCGCCCCTTGCCACCCCCCCTGGCTCTCCCCGGGCCACCCGCCGCGCCCCCCCAACCCTGCCCTCCATCCTCTAGCACTCCCTCCCCCCTGTGGGGGGACTCGGGGGTGACCAGGAAGAAGGTCAAAGGAGCTGGGGGTGGGGGGATGGGGAAGGTATTTTTTTAAAAAAATCAAAAAGTCATTAATAATATGCAACCGAGATGATGACGCCAGCAGACACCCCCGCCAGCAGACACCCCCGGGGCTCTCGACCCCCACCTGGGCCCCTAGGATGGAAGGGGAGGGGCCAAAGCCCATCCCCCCACCCACCCCACTCCCCCACAAAAAGCCTTCTCAGGTCTCCATGAGCCATAGGACACCCTCTCCCATCAAGTCGTGTAAATAAGTCCAAACCACACCAATTCCATCTCGGGGCGCCCCCTACTCTGCATGCTCTCCAGCCAGACCCCTGCTCCCAAACCACCTTAGCAATAAGCCGCCAGGGGCTACAAGCCGAGAGTTGGAGGGGAGGGGCTGGAACCTCTAGGGGTCAGGCTGGTCTTCAAGCCACAGGGGCAGTCTCTTGCCCTCCACCTCAGGGCAACCAACCCAACACACACTGATCAGGAGGGAGCCACCTAGGACAGGGGCAGGAGGGACGCCCTCCGAGGACAGGCGGTCGGCTGAGGCAGGAGCTCAGGAGCGTGCGCTGCCCATGGCGGCTCCCCCGGCCTTCGGGAAGATCCCGCTGGTGAATTTCGTCCCCCCCCCACACACACAAGGGAGCTGCTCGCTTCTGTCCTCTCTGCATGGACTCAGACCCCTCACCCAGGGTTCCTGGGAATCCCAGGCCCTCAAAGTCCCCACCCCTCCATTCCCAGGACATTAAGACCTGCATCTGGAATTCCTGAGATGGGCCCTGGCACCCTGCGCCCCCAAATGTCCACACACTTTGGGGGCTTCTCCGCTGCAAACAGACGCTTCCCCTGCCCCTCCCACACTCCCATTCCCCGGGTCGCACCCCAGCACTTCAGACCTCCAAGCGTCCACCCAGCTCCAGCTCAGTTCAGCCTTTGGGATGCTCCAGATCTTTCCCACAACTCTGACATTTCCCGGACACCCCCAGATCTTCCGGCCTGCTCCCCAACACCCTCAAGTCCCACAAAGAACATCAGACTCATCCTTCCCAGGACCCCCCGACGCTAGAACTTCCCAGGCGGGCTCTGCCTGTCCGCAACTCCAGGGAGCCAGACCCAGCAGCCCCTCTTTCACCCCGGCCCTGCCCACAGGCCCCTTCCCCGAGATGGTGCCCAAAGGTGCCCCCTTCATGGCCACCAGTTTCCCGGTGTGTCGCACTGGTGCCCTTGCTGGCAGGACAAGGTTGTGGGCAGCACCCCGAAGAGCGCCTGTTTAAAAAGCTTTCTCTTGAATGCGCACATTTTGCGCGTGAATCGGGTAGCGCTGCTTGGTCGGGGCATCATGTAGGTTACAAGTGTTTCCATCGGAGGCACTCCCGGACCGCATGGGCCGGGCCCAATTGGAGGGACGCTGCAGAGTCAGCCTGGGAGACCAAGCCGTCCCCAGAGGGCTGGCGCCCCTCACTTGCCGCCACGCTCGCGGAAGCCACCCCTCATACCGCATCCGGGCTCAAGGATGCGCTACCTCCCCCGGCCCAGAGCCCGCGCCGGTCCCAGAATCCTTAGCGGAGCCCCCCTTTGGAGCTGGGGGCCCGCGGAATCGTCCCCCTCCCTCCCCCTGCTCCTGCAGCCTCAGGAACCCCCTGCGCCCAACCGTGGGCGGGTGGGGGCGTCACTGAGCACGATTCTCGATGCAACGATTCCTATGCAAGGGGCATTTTGAGTCCCCCCATCCTCCCCTCGGCCCCTAAGCCCTGGTGAATCGGGTGAAGGGTGGGGAGGGGGAGGTTGGGGCGGGGTAAAGGGCTAGGGGCTCCGGACACTAGGGTGCGGGTGGGGACTGATCATATTGCCAAAGGGTTCAACTTCTTTAAACAGCCCCCCAGTTTCCCCTGACCCTCACACAAAGAACAGGGCAGGGAAGGGGGTGAGTCTTTCCCCAAGGGTACTGACCTCTTCCCAACGGCTCCCCCTGCTCGCCAATCGGCCACACGTACCCAGCTTTTTAGTTCAGCTTAAAAACAAACCCCACCATCATAAACATCTACAAAACGTGACTTTCGTCCCGCCCCTCCCCACCCCCCAAGTCAACAAAGTGTGGGATTCGGGGAGGGAGGGCGAGCTAAAGGGACTGCCTCCTAGTCCGCTCCTTTCTCCTCGGCCGCCAGGTGCCTGCAACTACACGCATGCGCTGCATGACGCGTGCCCCCCACTCGCATGTCGCGCCCCTCCTGCGCTCCGGGAACGCACGGACACGGGGCATGGGGCGGGGCGATCGGGGAGGAAGGAATGGCGGGGGGTGGAGCTCTGAGGCTCCCCCTCCCCAAAACACACACACAGCAATAAATTTCTCTCACTCGGAAGTGGGCGGGGCGGGCCTGGCCTGTGGGGGAGGAGGGGCAGAGGGGCGCTCTCAGGGATGGGGGCGGGGTCCGGAGCCTGGGAGGCGAGCTTTGCAAATCGTCCAACTCTGGTGCTAAAGGGGGCCTTCTCAGTCCTCCCGCAGGGCAGGGAGGGAGGGGTCGGCAGGCCCCTCCCCCCAAGCCTCCCCCACGCCCACCCAGGGTGCATGAACCGCCCAATGCAGAAGCTGCCGCATGTCACCCCCTCCTCAAAGAAAAAGCCACGCCCCTTTCCCCACCCAGCCTCTCACTCCCCACCAAAATAAAAAGTTTCCTTTTCATTTAAAAGTTGCCTCCTGTTTGTGGGCTGAGAAGGGTGTCCGGGGGCACAGCGGGGCTGGGACATTTAAGAGTAAAGATGGTTTTAAAATGGTAAGGAGCCTGGTGCGTTGGGACAAGCCAGGAATCCCATCACTTTGGGAAGCTGAGGCAGGAGGATGGCAAGTTCATGCCTAGCCTCAGCAACTAAGTGACTTAGAGAGATCCTGTCTCAAGGTAGAAATGAAGGCCTGGGGATGAGACTCAACTCGAAGGCTGGAGTTCAATCTCAAGCGGCAGTGCGGACCTGGGGGGTGGCGAAGTCCTGAAACCCCCCAGCACACCCCGCCGGGGCTGGTGTCTCTCAATTTCCTCCATGACAAACACCAGGCCCATCACCCCTCACCGAGACGTCTAGGAGGAAAGGGTGTGGGGAATTTGGGCCCCTACAGACAGGGCTAGCCCTGCCCCTGTACCTCTGCCCTGAAGCCTCCTAGCCAGTTGTGTCTTGGACAAGTGGCTCTGCCTCTCCGAGCCTGCTTCTGCTGACCCCAAAGGGCGGTGGAGGCGCAGTTTATACCCACTATTCACTCTTCTGGGCCCCAGAAAGCAGTGACGACCAGCCTCCAAGGTGCTGAGTTGGGGGACAAGCACGACCCCTTTCTTAGCAAAACCTCTGCCACAAATGGCCATTGTCCTTTATTTCCTGCAAAGCCTGGAGAGCTGGCCTCGAGCGCAGCCACCTCCTGGCACTCGCTGTCTAGCTTGGGGTGAGGGACCATGCCACCCAAGCCTGTTTCCCATCTATACAATGGAGGGGACACCTCGGGGCACCGGAGACCGCGCGAAGCTGAGTTCAGAACCAGCAGCCCCTGCCCCCAGGAACACACGCAGCCGCAGCCGGGCTCCACTCGGGCGGGAGTTTATTTCGCCAGCGCCAGAGGTTTCGCGAGGGGAGTCGCCCCCAGCGCCCTCCAGGCCACGCCGGATGCGCCATGGGACAGGGCCTGAATCCTCGCTGCCCAGTGTTGGGGCTCGCAGTGGCCAGGAGCTCTCAGGGGGCTGGAGGTGGGATCGATGGTGGCCGAAGATGCCAGGGGGCGCCGTCATTTCCAAAGTGCAAGGGCGGGTGCGCGGGCAGGGCCACCGGGGCTGCGCCCTCTCCTCGGTGCGCCCGGGGCAGGCCGGTCACTGGGGCTGGGCTGGCGGGGGACACTCGGGCTCCTGCGGCAGGGCCGACCCTGGCTCCGCCCCCTCCACCTCCTCCTCATCGGAAGCCACGCCCTCCTCCAGGCGGAACACCTGGCGCACTGTGCGCGTGGTGAAGGTAAGCGGGCCGCGCCTGCGGGCGGAGACACGGGCGTGGCAGAAAAGAGGGGAGCGGAAGTGCCTGTGCCCAAGCTCCTCACGCACGCCCCGGGACCTCGGCTCCGCCCCCTCTGTCCCCGCAGGGCCCAGCCTCCCCCACCCCGGGCACAGCCCGCCGCCGCCATACCGGAGCCGGTTCCTCAGCGTGGTCACCTCGCGGTTCATGGACTCGGCGGACTCGGTGACGTCCTCCAGCTCCCGCTGCAGCCTGCGGCGGCCGGCCTGGGCCCGGGACGCCTCCTCCTCCGCCTCCTCCAGCTGCCGCTTCAGCTGCTTCAGCCGGAGGTTCCCTTTCTCCAGCTGTGCAGAGCAGCGGGGCCACGGGCTGGTACCACGGGGCGCTGCCCTCCCCGCCCCCACAGCCCCCCAGGTCCCCTGCCCTCTGTCCAGCCCTTGTCCTTTCCCCTAGGGCCCTCAGGCCACTCACTCTCCACCCTGGCTCCAGGCTCCCCTGCAAGCTGTGCCACTCACAGTTGCGTGCCTGGGCCCAGTACTGCTGGGAAGGGTCCCCAGCGCCTCACCCTGGGCCTCGGCCAGTGTTTCTTCCTGTCTGAAACCCACACCGAGTTCACCCAGACCCTCCCCGGACTCTGCTGTCCCTCTCCAGGGAGGGACACAGGACCTCACTGCATCTGACCGTCCTGTTTGCCTTGCTGCTCTGAGATCACCACGCTTATTTCCACTCTTCAGAGGCTTTGCGCCTGCTGCTCCTGCCTCTCTTCCTCACCCTTCAGTGTGAACGAAGATGTCACCTCAGAGAGGCCTTTCTGATGCTGCTGAACTAAGGGGTCCCCGTTCCCGTGTCTTCTCTTCTCTTCATTTCCCTCTGCTGTGTACACACACTCACTGCTTCCCTCCCTGTGCTGACTGACAGTGAGCTCCGAAAAGGCCAGGACTCCCATTCTTGTCCAAGCCCTAAGGCCTGGCACGGGCCCGGCATGCAGCATTGTTTGTGGAGTGAACAGCAAATAAACCTCACCTGAGCTTTTTGTGTGTGTGTGACGGGGGGTGGGGGGGGGCAGGGATTGAACTCAGGTTCTTGGCTTGTGCAGCAAGCAGCGAAACCGCTGAGCTAAATCCCCGGCCCAAAAGCATTTTTTTTTCTTTTCGTACCGGGGATCGAACTTGGGACCTTGTGCTTTTGAGGCAGGAGGTAAATCCCTTGCCCTTCACCTGAGCTTTTAAGGGACTTGGTTCCGCCAGGTGGACCTGGGATTTGATACAGCTCTGTCACCTACAAACCGTGACTTTGGTGAAAATTATATCTCCTCCTCAAATTTCAGATTTTTACCTGTGAAGTGGGACTAGTGATATGCTAGTGTCCATTAAAAAGAAAAGAAAAAACAGCTTGTGACACAGTAACGGCTCAATAACTAAAATATAGCAGGGCAATGGTGGTGCACACCTGTAATCCCAGCACTCTGGGAGGCTGAGGCAGGAGGATCACAAGTTTGAGCCCAGCCTGGGCAACTTAGTGATTTAGCAAGATTTTCTATCAAAATAAAAAATAAAAAGGTCTGGGGATATAGCTCCATGTGAACACCCTGGGTTCAATCCTCAGTACTTACTTAATTACAGACTCTGGGGCCAAAGTCGGAATCCTGGCCTCACCTCCTACTAGATTAATAACTTTGAGCAAGTCACTTTACATTTCTGTGCCTCAGTTTCTTCACCTAAATAAGAGGGGAAATAACTGCCTACCTCAAGTGTCTCTGCTATGATTGAAACGTGCTACCTGTCACATCTACAGCTCAGGGCCTTGTGCTCGCTTCGGCAGCACATATACTACAGCTCAGGGCCTGGCACGCACAAGGCACTCAGTGAGCAATCTGTCTTCAGCCTGATCTCACTTCTGAGTCCAACCCTACCCCAACCCAGCTGGCCCACTCCCTGCCAGGGCCTGTGCTAGATGCCAGCTTTTATGGCTGGCAGAGCTGCTGCCTCTGCCCCTCTGCTGATGCTCCAGCCCCGGCTTGGGTCCGCACATGGTTCTGACCCCACACTGGCTTGCTGCTCCTTGTGCCTCTAGTGACACCGTGTGCCTGGGGTCCCATAAAGCTGTGATCCACTCACCTGGTCCCGGAGCTGGTCAGCCACCCTCCGCTCCTCCTCCACCTGCAGAACCACCTCCTTCAACCGCTTCTCGGCTCTGCGTACTAGCTTGCCAGAGAGGATGCGCTCCCTGCGGGGACAGGCAGGCTCAGGATGATGGCCCGGGGCACCCTGTGGCCCCATCTGGTGGCTGGCATCCACTCGTGGATGGCCCTTCCTGTCTTTCCCACCCCCAGCCAGCTCTGTCTGCTCAGTGGCACCCAGGGCATGAGTGTCCTTGGCCTCTGTGGTGACACTTGGTGTCCTAAAAATGCTGCTGCAATACTGGGATGTGAACCAAGTACAGATCTGGTCTTCCTGGTTTCCTGGCACGCAGCTCCCAGAGCCTTGGGAATCTCTGAAGTGCTGGTCTTTTTGCATGATGACCAGATGGCTGATGGGGGTGTCCTGGCTGGCTTCAGGATGGGGGCCAGGTGCTAGGGGACCCCATCATGTGATCAGAGGTTTGCAACTTCCAGTGCCCTCACCCCTGGGGAGGGGAGAAGAACTGGAAGTTGAGCTGATCACCAATGGCCAGTGACGACCAATCATGCCTAGGTAATGAAGCCATATGGGAGCCATTTTGTTTCATTTTGTTTTTTGAGACAGGATCTGGCTGTGTAGTCTGGGTTGGCCTTGAACTTTTGGCAGTGCTCCTGCCTCAGCCTCCTGAGTACTGGGATTACAGGCATGAGCTGCCACCGCTGCCTGTAGGAGCCTTAAGGATGGGGTTTGAGGAGCTTGCAAAGTGCTGGTTATATGGAGGGTAGAAGCTATTGCTGCTGCTTCTTGGATATGAATGTGGATATGTGTGGATGTAGTGCTTGGTGCAAGTGCAGCCATTTTGTGACCACAGGGAAGAGACCAAGGGAACTACTCAGATGGAATGATCTTTTGGTTGCTGGGATCCAACTCTTATCATATGAGAAAAAGAAGTTCCTTTTTGTGATAGACGTATGAAAAAATACTGCTTACTGTATCTACACTTTTTCAGTATGACTGAAGCTGCTCCCACCAAGGAATGATGCCTTTTTCCCTCATGCCCTGAAATTTGAGCTGGCCACAGAACTTGCTATAGCAGAAGTGACACAGTGCCAGCTCCAAGTCTATGCCTCAGAGGCCTTTAGCCCTTTTCCTCCCTCTTTGGACCTTGGCTCATCCTGAGCTGGGCTGCTGGATGATGAGGGGCCACCTGGTTGTCCCCGGAAAGGCCTTACACTTCCTTAAGCCCAGTCAAGATCAGCAGATCCATCCAGCTGGTCCTCAGCTGGGGAAAGATGCAGGAGTGAGGCCCACCCAGCCCAGCTCAAGGGCACTCACTAGCCAAGGTACAATAAAAAGCAAAAATAAACATTTGTTATTTGAAGTCACTAAACTATGGGGTGGTTTGTTACACAGCTATAGCTGACTGCTACATTGCTGTGTAAATTGTGCTCAGTGAGGTTGCAGTTACCTGCAGCCCAAAGCAACCTCTTCCACCAACCTGGTCTCTTGCTCCAGCTGCTCCTCAGCCTGGGCCAGCTTAGACTCAAGGGTGGCAATCATCATCTTCTGGCGGGC